TATTTGTATCATTGATGTCTGCATATAGTTCAGCTTTAACCATATGAATTGCACCATTTACTATACATGGCTTAAATAGCTTGTTTTATATGCCACCTAAAAACTGTGAGGGGAATTTATCAAAACAGGAGTAGACAAAATCTGGAGCAGCTGTGCATGTCAATCAATCAGCTTCTCTCTTTCATTTTCAAATCTGAACTGAACAAACTAAAGGTGCCCATACACTGCTCGATTCTCGTACGAGAATCGCGGGAAATCCCGCGATGGTACGAGAATCGAGCAGTGTGAACGAAGACGTGCAACCGTTTCTACTGTACGGTCGCACGTCTTTTGTCTACGGAGCATGCTAGAAAACCAGCCGAGAATCGTACGATTTTCGGCTGGTTTGAACGGTGCTCAGGAGACAAATGCCGAACGGGCCGGTGTGCGCACGCGCACACTGCCCGTTCAGCATTGCGGTCATCGGAAGACCGCCCCTCAGGGGGGCGGGCTTGCGATGATCAGGAGTACGATCTGCCTGCCCAAGATGGGCAGATTGTACGTTTTTTTAATCACTTTACAACCATCGCAAGACTAAGGTCTTGCGATGGTTGTACAGTGTATGGCCACCTTAAAGAGAGAAGCTGCTCCAGATTTTGTTTTCTCCAGTTGTGATAAATTCCCCCCTGTGTATATACAGCTCTGCCACCATGAATTTCTTCCACCTTATCCTCCACCAATGCCCCCTTCTCCCCTTCTTGCTACTCCTTTTGCTGTTGGGACTGTAAATAAGTTGAACAACAAAGAAAACAACAAAGTCAACAAAGAAAATGCAGCCATAATTGGACAAGTAGAGGACTGGGATCAGTAAGAAAAAAAAAACAGAGGCCTTTCACATTATGGTTGTACAATATATTCCTTGATCAATACCCAACCAAATAAACGGTCTTTAAATGGAGTTCTTCAGTTTTACTATTAAATGTATTAAATTAGTTAAAGGAGAACTGTGTGGTGAGTGGTTTCCACTCATCCTCATAGAGCCGACCCGTGACAAAGAAGCTGTCACAACAGGTTGGCTCTATTGATCGCTAAGTGAGCAGAAACATGCAGCCGATCCTCTCACTTCCCGATCGTGTCCCTGCAGTGAGCGGTGACTGTCAGTTACAGTTCCCCACAGGGATTTCCCCTACCCCGCCTCCTCTCTCTGATGCTCCAGAGCTGAATGGAGGACCGAACAGGGGAGGGGGCGAGCACAGCTGTCTCTGTGTGAGTTGTCACTCACGCAGCTGGCTGGGTGGCTCCAGACAGTATTGTCGGGATCCGTACCGGCTGCGGCACTCTCAGTATATCGGGGGCAATAGTTCGCTATATACTGAGCTTCGGGTCATGGGAGGGCGCTAGTATATGTTCTCCTGTGACCCTAAAGAGAACTGTGAGGAAAAACACTTACCCCATAGTTCTCTTTTAAATAAAATGTGTATAATATATAATAAGATCTTTTATACCACGATACAACAATTTTGTAATAAAATTAAATCAGAAACAACTGGAAAAAAAAATTCAAGATTATACATCAGGCCTGATTACCTGAAAGAAGATGCACAAGAGTAGCAATAACAGGAGCGGGTAGAAGGTTATGCCCACCATAAAATGTGAACGCCTAAGGCTGGGTTCACACCTAGGCGTATTGAATATGCGCGTTTGTCACGCAGTTTGCGGCGCGCGTTTTTACCGCGATTCGCGGTAAAAAAAACCGCTCGACAAACGCCCGTTTCCGTGGGCTACTTGGCTGTATCCCAATGGAAACGCAAGACCAAAATGCCCCAAAGAAGTACATGTACTTCTTTGGGCGTAGGCTGGTTTATATCGCGTTCGGACGGGCGGAAATACGGCAAGGTGTGAACCAGACCCATTTAATACAATGGGATTTAGATGTTTGAGCGTTTTGTAGAGCGTTTGTCGAGCGTTGAACGAGCTACAAAACGTTCAGGTGTGAACCACGCCTGACTTATTTGGTAGAGATCTTGGTAAATATAGGCTTTGGAGTCCCCATTTGCAGTGTACTTTTTTATGGCTTAGATCAGTATTTCTCAACCTTTTTTCACTCACGGCACCCTTAAAAAGTATGGAAAATCTCAAGGCACCCCAGTCTAAAATGTGACGGGGGAACCCATGCAAAAACACGCAAAAAAGTGTAGTTTGTCTTTTTGCATCAAAATTTTCCCTTCAAATCAAGAGCCCCCCTTCACATCAAGAGCCCCCCTTTTATATTGGGATCCCCTTGTACAACAGAGTTCCCCCTTCACATCAGAGCCCTACCATCAGAAAATGTAGAGGCACCACGGTGTGCCATGGCACCCTGGTTAAGAAAGGCTTGCTTAGATGCATACAGTAGATGTTTATGTTTGGTTTTTAAAAATAAAAGTTGTGTAAGTACATATGTCCAACAAGCATTGAAAAATACTGTAGCATCGAAAGACGTCTTGCATGAGCACGTTTCATGACCACAGTAAGCATGTATGCTGTATGTGCACCGTGTTACCCATCACAACATGTGCACTATGACTTCTTCACTTTGTTTTTAAACTCACTGAGGGAAATGTAGCAAAACGGAAGCAGACTCACTGAACAGAGCATTTTCAGTATAAACAGTTCCTATTGAGTTTTCTGTTGCCAGGATTTGAAATCCAAATGACAACCAGATTACAGACGAAGCTGCATGATTCAGAACTTTGTCTGACCCAAACAAATCACATAAAGTTTATTTTATTTTCTACTTTCTGAATGGTATTGAAGACAATTATTATATCCAAGCTTGAAATTTAACCAGCATGTTAAGCTGTCTACTGTAAAAGGCTTAACATTGTTCTTGTTCTCTAAAATGAAAGACATTTGATTTACCTTAAAGTACCTCACATTGCTAAGACTTTTTTAAGTGGAAGTACTGTATGTAAAGATTAGGCCCTCTATCAGGTTTTTAACGCTGTCCCTGGGGAGATCTGTTTTTTTGTTTTTTTTGATGAGTGCCTCTGAGACAGAAAGTGATGGGAAATGAAAAGTTTTACAGTTGTCACCAGAACACAAGGCAAGGCTAAACCTCCTAATTGGGACACTTGTTCTGGTGACAACTGTCTGAGAGGAGAATTCCCCTCAAACTGTAGAGATTTCCTTCCTGTTACATCTCAGGGACAGGAAGTAAAGGTAAATCTACCCAATTGGACACAGACAACTAAAAATACACTGGCAGCGGATTTAACTCTTCCCTAGTCTATCTAAAACATAAAACAAACACAAAACAACTCCATGAATTTAAAAAAATTTACCCTTGCAGTGGGGCTACCTGCACACTGCAAGGATTAGGTGCCTATTTTGAAATAATGCAGATTTACTCACCTGATCCACGGTCCTGCCAGACAGCCAGACCAGTCCTTGCAGCCTCTTCGCCTCTGTTTAAGAACCACTGGCATCATCACATTAAAAGCAGGTCCACTGACTTGCATTAGACGTGAGGACGCAGAAGAACCACATTGACCCCACAGTGTATGCAACCACATTCCAGAGAACCATTTACAATAGATTATTATGATGATTCAACCCTGAATGCCTATTTCAATGCATATTGTAACTGTATGTCTATAACTAAGCAAAAAGTCAAACATTTCAGGGGATTCGTTTGGTCAATATGCAGTTCTTCCTCTAAGAATATTCTGTCTTTGTGGTCATTGTGCAGACGGGTATACATGGTCAAAGAATACAATGCATGTTTGTCTACAGATCTAAAGAAAAAAAACTTTTTAGTCACTAAAATCTAATTTGCACATGCTTGACCGTTTAATATCAGCCCCTACAGCAGTTCAACGGAAGCAGCAAGAGGAGCAGGCGAGAGCTAACCCTACAGAGGTAAGGTCAGGGTTCCCATTCCTATTAAGTTATGCAAATACAGTTCACAAGCTCTGGCTTAGCCCAGCCACTCCAACCTCCTGCACTTTTCTGTGGGTCTGCAGATATACAAAGTGACCTTAATGACCACTAGAGGTGGAGGAGAGGGTGGGCCACGGGGTGGCCTTCCAAAGTGAGACTAAAAACTGCATAATTGACTGTCCTAGGCTCCCAAGGTGCTCAGTAAGAAATCTGAAGTTATGGGCAAACACCTGTAGGTGCTCACTATTAAGTTCAGGTACCAGTTTTTACCATACCCTAGTAATCACAGGATTACTTTAAGTATTCAAGAACCTGTACATTATTGGCGTGCAAGCCTTTCATTATGTTTTAAAGGGTCACTTTGACTAAATGATAAAACAGCATTAAAAATGTAAGCTCTGCTAAGGACCACTATCTCAGCTCAGGATAGGGGGCTGATAAAGAGGCATTTACCCATACCAGTCAAGTAAAACAGATGACAAAAGGTACTCATCAATTCGTCACCAGCTTTAGGTAGAAGGTACACACGGAATGGGCTTTAAACAGAAAAATAGCAAAAAGTTTTCCTGGCACACTCACAAGCTAGCATGTAAAAAAACTTATCTCACACTAAGGTTAAAAACAGAGGTTTGGACGTGTATCCAAACCTCTGTTTTTAACCCTAGTGTGAGACACGTTTTTTTACATGCTAGCTTGTGAGTGTGCCAGGAAAACTTTTTGCTAATTTACCTGTACCAATCTCATTAGATGTCATATAATCAGCAGTAATGCATAACTTTTACAGGACGGTGACTAAAATAATGTAAATACATGCATTTTGTGGTAAAAATCACTTGCTCCCTCTGTTGTCAATTTTTATTGTCACATGTTCCATTCAGGTTCCATTTGAAGCATAACTCATAACAGAATGCTAGTATCAGCAGGCTGCATCCTTTCCCTGGCTCACCCTTATCACAGATTCTACCTCCTTCACCTGATTTACTCCATTCTACTTAAGTACTTCTTAGTCACTTAGCTCTAGAGACCATCTACTGCCAACATTATTGACCAGACAAATCCCTTATTTTATCTACAATATAACAGAAACAAGCAATGCTTACTTTAGCCCAAGCAATTTCCACATCCAGATCTGCACACAGACCATCAGCTGTGGTTTTCAGAATGAGCTCGGATTCAGTAGCACTGAGCCATTCAGACAGAGAGGCAGACTCTTTTTTCAGCTTTACGGCTAAAATAGTGGCGCGTTCCAAATCTTGCTTTCCTTCTGTTACCTGCAGCAAAACAGAGAGCTCATTAAGAAAAGCTGCACACTACTGAACACATTAATGTCTTTATACAAATGACAATGCAAGCACCAATTATCACATGACACTTATTAAGCTGCAACTTATTTTTCCCATCCATTATATTTTTCTGCATCATCAGATAAAATCCATTTCCACCTAAAAATCAAATATAAGGAAACAATGATATATCAGGCACCATGGATCTAGAAACAAAACTTGTGCAGGTGTTATTTTGAGAATGACTGTATGAGTGCCAATCAGCTATTCAGTTTCAATTTAGCTGTCGAGCAAAAGCTTATAGGAACATGTCATTAGGAATCCTGAGCACAGTAAGAATCCACAGGAGGCTCAGACACTTTAATGTAACTGAAATGTATTGTATAAATGGTTTGGCTCTAAAAGTGTAGCCAATGCTTTTTTAATTTTGGATACTGGGGAGTGGCAGATGTTGTCTACTTACAGGGTATAGGGAGCCTCAAATGTGACACCTGATGGCTCCAAAAAGGCAGCATATAATGTTTATTATATATACTGCTACAGAAGACTGTCATACTCATAGACTAGAGACATACTAGAGGAAATTAAGATTGCCCTACAAGAGTGATTGGGGACAGAAGTAATTCTGCAGGAGACTGTCAGAGACCAGGAAGCAGTGATGAGGGGCATGGTGTGAACCCAGTTCGGGAAATGGGCCTGCCGCAACTAATCGGGCCGAGAGGGCAGTGTGTCAGTCACAGTTTTGAGAGGGCTTGGACAAACTGAGACAAACTGGGTTCACACCAAGTCCAAGCTCATTACTGCTATTATAACTCCTTTACAAATCAATGCCCAACTTCTGAATGCTGGGTGCTACATGTGGCCCTTGGGCTGCAGGTGGTTAGAAGATGTAAGGTGTCTTTTTTTTTCCGCCCCTGCTGCAGAAACTCATGTCTCTGTTTGTCCTGGTGAATACTGTCCATGGGACAGAAAATGATGGGACATTTAAAAATGTACAAATGTCAATGGAACAGGAAATAAGGGAGAGAGGGAGAACACTATCAAAAATGTGGGGGGGGTCCTTTTTACACTAGAGCTATATAAGGTATTGGCTGTGCCTTGCATTGGCACATATTAGCAATTCACACCAGTCTGTTGCATTTCGCTGACCTAACACCAAAATACTTTACAGGTATCACGAAGTCCAGATACACACTTCATTGCAGTAACTCACTAAGGTAAAGCATCTGTAATGTATCATATCGCAATACAGAGTTACAATAAAGGGTCACGTGTGATTTTGCCCACACTGGTGACTGCTGGCACACCCATTCAAAATGAATGCGCTGCCATAACGAAACGCACATTAACACATAAAACAATGCACCACCCAGATGTAAATGGTGATAACATGTTATGTGCCCGTTAGGACCTAAAGCATCTTTGGAATTAATGAAGCCGTTTACTTGTATGACATTAAAAGGAGCACCTAGAATTACAGAGCTGTGGTGGAAAAAGCACTCATGAACTCGAAATCAGAACCTCAGCACTCCAGCTGTGGTGAAACTTCAAGTTCTATGAAGGATTGCAAGACTGATGGCCACAGGCATGACTCCCAGAGGCAGAGACATGATGGGAATTGTAGTTTCAACACACCTGTAATGCTGAGGTGGCCTACCCCTGCTCTGAATGTACCATCAGAGAGTTCAAATCAAGATATAGTTACATAGGGACATTTATTATTCAAGTCCAGGCTAACAAACATTCAGCTTTTTTTTTGGATGTACTATTATTAACTCACTCGTACATTGCATACTTGTAACTGCATTTCAAGTTATATAATAAGTTAAATTAATAAAAGTGCATTTTTTAGAAGGTGCAGAAAATGCCCGGGTGTCAGTCTGCTTGAGCCTTAGTAAAGCTCCTGTACTTCTGTGGCACAACATCGCTCAGATGTGAATGGGCCCCATGGAAGAAAATGGAGACCTTATTGTCGAGTGTTGGCATGCTTCTGGAAACACGCAACAAATCATTCAGGTCTGAACGGGGCCTTTAATCTTCCTTATGCTGCCATGAGTTCATGATGCCAAATGAATGCAATGCAGGAGAGCTAGAATAGCATGGGCTGCTGTTTTTTATAGGCTTGTGGTAGCAGGTTTGAGTTATCTATAAATGATAGTCCTGATACCATGCAGTTCCCCACACATAAAACTCACCAATTCCAATCATAAATAAATTACATAAATAGACAGACCTGAGCCCCGAGGTCATTGTACAAGAGTTTTAAAGCCGTTAGCTGCTCGTCCATTAGCTTTGGATTATCAGTCTGCTGCTTCTGCACAATTTGTCTTCCTGTCTTTATAACAGTCTCAACCTCCAGCTTTACTTCACTCAGCGTCTTGTACAATTTCTGCATGACAAACACAGCATGCTACTTTTATCTATCAAAAACAGGTTTGTACAGAACATATTCATTGCAGACTACTCAAACACTCAAATAATTATGTGTGGGATGTAAAAATATGAAGTTATCCAATACAAACAGGGCAAGAGACCATTCGACAGTATTTATCATTTTCTTTTAAGCACACCTCCAGCCAAACAACAAACGTGTACCGTTGTACCTGCCAAAATGCCAGTATTTGTGCGCACTTTCAGACTAATACCTGCTGTTCAGAAAGTTCAAGGAAGCATAAATAAAATTATATTAAAAGGTAGGCAGGTTTGAGGCAGTTGTAAAGTATATGGAAAGCCAGTCGCTAAGCTCACATAAGCTTTAATATGTTAATGTTATTTCAGAAATGAAGATATACCTGGTTATCTTGCCATCAAGGTACTTGTTCCGGCACCAAAATATAGCACTGTACAAAGATTACACTATCGTACAGATATTCACTGACCTCTGGGTTATCTCTCTGTCCCCACAGCTCAAGTTGAGTGAAGTTGCTGGCATTACACATGAGAATGTATGCTATCTGTACAGCTGAAATTTGTGGCCTCATGTTTTCCACTGAACAATCTTTTTGCCTCTGCTAGATAACTAGACAGTGTATAAAAACCCTAACACTGGTATATCACTATAATCCTTGTACCTTCTTCACAGACTGCACTTGTCTGCTATACAAGTGCATGGTCCAAGCTCTGTTAGGTATACTTACCATGCAGCCATCCATATGTTTCTGTAAGACATCTGGATCAATATCTTTGATATCAAGTACACCAAGCTCGGCTTTCACTCCGTCTAAGACACGCTTACAGTCCAGCATCCTCTGTTCAAAGTTTGCTGGCTTCTGGAAAAGCTGGAACTTCGTAGACACTTCTCGGAATTTCCTCTGTATAGATAAAAGACATAAATTTACTCGATTTATTTCAAAGCCCAAAATAGAATAAGGGAAATATATTAAAGCGCAACTCAAACCAACACTCTTTTTGTTTAGGGATAATTATGGTAAACATTAACTTTTCCGCACCCTCCTTAACACTACATAGCAGGGGTATACTATTGGTATGGAATTTTCAGAAATGAGCACTTGAAATGGTACGCAGCAATTTTTTTTTATATTTGTAGGTATTGCAATGTGAATGGGAACATAACAATTATAAAGTAGGTGTTATCCCAAGCTGGCTACCAAAGTGGAAATACAAATTACCGTATAATACCTTACATTAAGAATTTCATAACATTAAAATTGATATGAAGGAAAGTCAGCACAGAGGTTTAAGTTATTGAAGATGAAATGAATGTTCACACTTCAAATAGCAAATCAAGCTTGTAAATGAAGCGCCACTTAATTCACTTAACAAAGTTAACCTCCACTACTCCTTTAGTAAACAAAACCCAGTTTGGGACACTGTGTCAAATACAGATTATGTGATCAAAGGCTCTTCAAGTTACATCCCTAAAACCTGAATTTACAATTTGTAAAGTAATGCATGAGTAGAGTTTTGTTTGAAAAAACACTTTTGAAACATTCGTTTGAATTTCTAATAGCTAATGGGGTAAAATATTAATCGTATTCAACCTAAGTGACCAAGAAAAATTGACGGAGCAGGAAAAAAAATTCTCTGAATGTGGTTTTTGTTTGAAAACCTCCATTCATTCCAAAATCGATTTAAAAATTAACTGACAATGATCAAGTCTCTGATGGCATTATTGTATTGTTCTGATGAGATTTTTCATACGAATGTTCGTAGCAGAACCTACCAGTGTGTGGCCAACTTTAGACTGACTGGGTTCATTTTAGAAAGGAGTAAATATATTTTAACTTGGCAAACTGAAATCCAACATCTTGGATGGTGTCTCCATGCCATGTATGCAGTATAGAATGGATGTGTGCCTTGTATACAAAGCTGAAGGAAAATTTGAGATGCTGCCCGTAACATGTAAACAGATTGCAGCTGTCATCCTAGAGCAGGTTAGAAAAAAGCCATCTGACTGAAGCTTGTAGGTCATGACTACTCTTTTCTTTTATATCAGTTCCTGCTTAAAACCTACTATGTATTACACGTTAGGTTAACAACATGTTAGAGACGTCATGCAGCGAAGGCCATAAAAACATTATTACCTGAACAACATCCAGCTGTGATCCTCCTCGAGTGGGTTTAACCTCTGGGCTGGACAGTATCACAGGTCGTGAAATTTTCTTCAGTCCCTCCAAAGTTGCTTCATGGCTGCTTATATCAGCTTGAATTTTCTTAAAAGAGTACAAAAAAGACCATTTATGACTTATGTATGCTCTACAGAAATAATTCAGTCTGTACACTAACATGAAACAGAAAATAAAGAGTGCTGCCTCTTTATTTACTTGGAATATCGCCTAATGTTCTTCTAAGAGTCTTGTGACTCCTGGGAGTGGTCTACACACATTAATGTATCACATTGAATTATAGTATTTCTAGATAAGGTATTTACGAAAAATTCAGGAACACTGACATATTTAAAGATATTGAAAGGGAAATTAACATTCAACAATGTAATTTAGAAGGTTGGGTACACAGCCACCAAATCCTAATAGATGATAACTGCAAATGTTTTTTTTTCTTTTCTCAATAGTGAGATTTCCCTTCATTCCCTGTCCTGGAGACTCAACAGAAAGAAAGAGGAAATCCCTCTTAGGTCCCATTTACATCAGTGTGCTGCAAAAACAAACATTGGTAAGCTAAGATTCCATTAATTTTAAATTGCACACAACACACCTTCCCAGCCCACGTGTGCTACAGCGCAATGCGCATCAACATACTACTATGCATGCTGAAGAATGATTTTTTGGGGGGGTTTTTGCCTATTGTTATGTATTAGGAAACCCATTCAAATGAATGGGCTGCCCTACCACAACACACACTAATGTGCAACACATCATGCATTAACGCACATGCATTTAAGGCACCGTGCAGAAGTAGTCTGGTGTAAATGGGCCCTTAAGGCTTGTGTATTCCCAGTGAAAGATTTCCCTTCACCTTCTGTTTTGTTGATAACTTTTCCCCCTCATCTTCTGTTTTGTTGATTTCCCCTTACTTCCTGTTATGTCAAATGTTTTAGATTTCCCATCACTTTCTGTTCTGATGACAGAGGTGATCAGGACAAGGAGAGGTTGAATCTCCCTAGCAGACAGCAATAAACTCCTGACAATTAATATCCGGTGCCGCACTGTCGGACAGGTTTAGAGATACTGAACTAGATCATTTACAACAGAATGAAAGATACAGAACTAGATCATTTATGACAGGGTAAGGGATAGAGAACTAGATCATTTACTACAGGACTAAATAATTTGAATCAGGATGAGAGATACATGACGGTGTCATTTACATCAGGTTGAGGGATGCATGACTAGGTCCTTTACGTTAAGGTTGAGAGATACAGGACTAGGTCATTTACAACTGGTTGAGAGATACAGGTAGTGGCCATAATGCGGTATGTTCCCTATTAAGTCTGGGGGAAATTTACTAAGATGAGCAGACAGAAACTGGAGTAGCTGTGCATGGCAACCAATCAGCTTTAAAGCTTAACTGAACAAGCTGAAGATAGAAGCTGATTGGTTACTATGCACAGCTGCTCCAGATTTTGTCTGCTCCAGTTGTAATCAATTCCTCCTCTGTTTCTTATGAATATACCTATTGCAGAAGTAAAATTACATTAAGAATATTTGTTTTTGCCCCATTCTGACAATCGCTAGTTAATATGCACAAAATGAATGTACCGGCAGTTTCGCTTGACAAATAAGCTATGCATTTTTTTTATAAGATCCGTGATACCCTAGTTAGATAGTTATCTAAAGGATATTTATCCTAAAACACCTTATGCAGTTTTTTTTAGAATTATTTGGCTGAGCTGACAGAGGGATTATTCTTACTTCAGTCACTGGGGATGATAAACAGAATTGTCAGGCAAAGAAGGATGGAGATGTAGGGCTCTACATACATCCATAAAGCCCACATGTTACCCTAATGATTATGTTACCCAATGTCATGCATAGTGTCTAGGTGCCCATACACCTTACGATTATCGTACGATAATCATATGCGATCGACTTTTCGTACGACAATCGTAACGTGTGAATAGAGTGCCCGACCGATAGTACTGTACAATCGTACGACTTTTGACGGTCAAGCATGTTTGAAAACTTTGGTTGATCGTACGATGTTCGCATGGTTGGTGGCGTTTCCGTCCGTCAAATGTCGTACGATTAACACTGCGCATGCGCAAACGAAAATAATTGCGGTCAATTACCGCAAGTCGTCCAGGTGTTTTTTTCTAACTACCGCTGATTGAACCTTGCGATAATCGGGGCAGGATGGGGCCGTCGTACGAAAATCGTACGACGGTTCGATCATCGGACGAAAAGTTTAGTCCGATAATCGTAAGGTGTATGGGCACCTTTACACAGAATTTTTAGATTGGTGGTAAGCAACCTCGGCACTCCACCTGTTGATCTTGTCGTGCATCTGCAAGTCTTGCCTGTGGCTGTCAGCCTTGCAGTGCTTCAGTGGACTTGTCATTCCACCACAGCTGAAGTCCCGAGCTTGCCTACCTCTTGCCTACCTCTTTCCTAAATTCTCACAACTACTTACCCAGTTCCTCATCCATTCCTGTGCAATTGATCACTGTTTATTCCAGTTTCCATACATGATTAAAATTAGTACAATGCTAGAAACAAGGATGCGGGTGATAAGATTACAGCTGAAAAGGACAGATTTTAAAAACGTTTGGAGAGATACCTGAGCCTCTTGGGGCATTCGCAGGGCATCCACTCTATCAGTCAGGTAGGTGGTCAGCTGTTTATCCAGCTCTTCCAAGGACTCTTGCAGTGTTTGTAACATATGATCACTCTCACGGAGGGTCATCAGGTGCTGCTCTAAAGTGATCTGTCTGGTCACAGCCTGGAAAGATATAATCTCATTTAAACTCCTATTCATCTTCATGATTTTAGCACAGGAACTTCCAATGTCACCTTTTCTCTACCAATATTTCAGTGTGGATGGGTTACATTCCACATACTAGTAAAGAGTGTCTGTCAGGCCTTTACTTGCAAAAATATGTTTTGTTCCTGTGAATCAGGTATTCTGCAAAGCATATCAGGATATGCAGTGTGAGCATGTGTGAGTAGACACATGAGCTTGTTTACTGTCTATATTCATTATCAAGCGCCAGAATCATCATTGTGTATATGAAAAAATTATCTTTCTTCAGAGTTTGAAAAATATTACTCATTTAATTTAAAGCCCAAGTTTAGACAATATTTGTTGTTTGTTTTAGAGTGGAAAAAAGCTTTTCATTGTCATCTGTGTCTCCTTTGGAGAGATATCCCCCTCACTTCCTGTCAATAAAGGAAACACTCTCCAGGGTGAACACAGACAAAAACCCACAGAGAGGGAAGAGTTAAAACTTCTGACAATGTTTTTTTTCCCCCACACACCTGTCTTGGTGACAACTGCACTCTGCATTTTTTATATGGACACAACAGAGACAGAACTGAGGCAGAATCTCCTCATTGGTGTCACTAACAGAAATAAAAACCTGAAAGAACTTTTAACTCTTCACAACATTAGCCAAAACGAAAACATTTTTGACAGAAGTTAGGCTTTAGGCAAATTATAAAAATTAACGTTATTCTTATTTAACTATTTGCTGTCCAGAGAAATTTCTTAATATTTGCACACATGATAAAATGAGAATTTTTGGCTAGAAAACAGCTTAGAACCCCCAAACAATTATACATTTTATGAAAGAAGAGGCCCTGTAGAATACAAAATCCTATTTTTTTATGTAGCACAGTATTTCTGCAAATGTTTATCAAAACAGTATTTTTAGGATAAGATACACTAAAATTAAATTTAGTACACAGAAACAGAATATAATACCAACATTTTTGGGAAAATATAAAAGATGGGGATATAAAAAGCCTGATAAATTGGCCCCCAATAAAAAAAAAAAACATGGAAAACGTGCCATTCTTATGGGATTGCACAATGAGCAATGATAATTGTTGTCGTAAAGGTGCAATCACTATTCGAAACCAATAACATTTCACCATATATCCATTTAGCCCATTTGTTTTCTGTGCAATACTAAACGCTGCTCTTCACCTTTATAGAAAAACCTGTATGTATTATAAAACTGTATCTTCAGGGCAATAAATAGTTGTGCATGCTTCTAGAACATCAAAGCTCCAGTAAAAATTAAAACAGGACAGGAAGACCTAGTATGTGACACATAGCTGACAATTATACATTTCAGTACTTACTAAATGACTTAGCTCTTCATAGCGGGCATTAAAGATTTCTAGCTTCTCACTAATGATGTCATCAAGGATTCCACCATCGATCAAGGTCTGGCCAAGTTCACGAATCTGTGTTCTGTTGTCTGCAGGGTGCCGCAGGGCTGACTCTAAAGACTGAATGGTGGCAAGAAAGAGCAGAACATTCTTACTGAAATTATATGTACAGTGACAATTTATTTGTAACTTTCATGTCTTAGGCTAAAAGGGGATATACTGTATGTTTCTCAGCTAGTTATTGCTAGCAATTTCTTATAACTGGACTTCTTTTTACAAGCTAGTTTTTCACATCATTAAATGTGCCTCTTATATAATGAAATACTTAAAAAGGACATTCCTTTACCCTCAGCTAGGGAGGCTCTAATTCAAATAATCCTAAAGCCTAATAAGGACCCCTACACTGTGAGTCCTAAAGGCCAATTAGGCTTCACATACTCGCAAAGTCTTTGATTTGATTACATTATATTTATGTAAGCCCACATACTGATGGAATTTGGTTTTGGCCATATATTTATAAGTTGGATACAAATAATGTACACCCAACCTACTACCCCAATTAAAGTGAATAACATATTTCCAACCCATTTCCAATACAGTGGGGAAGGAAACAGGGTCACCCGCTGTCCCCACTTTTATTTGCCATGTCATTCGAGTCACTTGCAGAGGTAATTAGACGAACCCCACTGAGGAGGTGAGATGGGCAAGCTGGGTGAGGTGGAGGTGGTTGAAAGAGTCTCCTTATATGCACACAACAAGGTAATATATCTGTTGGACACAGAACATGTGATAGGTATAGTCCATGAACTTGGTAGCTACTTCAAATGTAAATGGGGATAGCCAAAAAGTTTTCTCGAAGGATGCACTAACTGATCTAGGTCTAGGTAACAGTTGTCCTTTGAAATTTACTGACAAATGCATATATTTGAGAGTGGAGATTCAGTTACAAAATTTGATCAAACAATGGGTGAATGGATTTCCTGTCTAAACTCCTGCAAACACCAGACCCTTATCTGATGTTCTCACCTGTAATGAAGAGACCCCTATATTTTGGTACACACTCTTACCATATCCGCTTTTTTGTGTCTGAACTTACAAATGATACCCACAAAGATTGGCTGAAGTGACCTTTTATTAATAGCCAAAATTGTAAATCCTTTATCCAGTGACAACACTGTTACTTGTGCACTCATTTTATTGACTTGTATATCTGGCTCTCTGTTAACATGTACCTGTGATTTGTTTTAAAAAAAATTTACTTCCTATAGCACACAACATGGGGCCCATTAGAAAACAGGCTTTTACGTATGAAATACATATTTGCCTTGTGTTGGATTACCTAAAATTGGGTCAATTTACTGAGGCCTCATTCACACACAACGCAAGCAAAATTGTATATTGCCTATATATGCGTCTATGCGTGTATATACGAGCGTCTATGCACGTATGTACGTGCACTATTTGCATTCCCAGAATGCATCCTTCCTAATGGAAATTTTAATGAACTGTACGCACACGCGCGTGTATACGCTCGTAGACACACGCAAATATGCGTATGCGCGTAAAATACGCAGAAATACGCTGCCCGGACGCATCTCGGTTCCATTCAGTTTTTGCGCATATATACGATACGCAAACGTATACGATATATACGATACGCGGCTATGTGTATGGAGCCATTTATTTGCATATGTTGCATATGGTACAATACGCACGAATGCGCGGCAGTGTGAATGAGGCCTTAAGAAATAAAGCATGTTCACTTTTTAAAGCTGTATATTTGTTTCTTTGCAAAAAGAAATGAGGTGAAGCTGTGTTCAATTTAATCATCCGATCATGATTAAGCAAATGTCCTTTTTTTTTTTTTTTTTTAAATCCCTTGCACATGCTTTAGTATTTAAAGTGATATTAAAGTAAAAATGTATTTTGGCTACTGTATTTCAAATGCTGATTAAACCACTTACAATTGATGCTGCTCCTGGATGCTTAAAAGCTTTAGATTCCTGTAGAATCAGCTGAGCGCTGCTCCTAATATCCTGTTTTGGGGTGGCTCCTTGCCCTTGTAGGGCAGGGGTGCCCATTAGGTAGATCGTGATCTACCAGTAGCTCTCGAAGCTGATGCTGGTAGATCACAAAGGGTGTGAATGGTGGCCCCTTTATTCCATTTTGGTATATTTATTTAGCTGTGCACACATGATTACCTATTAGCCTATGAGTCTGCTGAGCCAAGTTCCCTGACACCTTTCTGGTGGATACTGGGAGCTGAAGTGCTATGTATTACATCAAAGAATATTAGTTTACACAGCCTGTTGCCACATACAGCAAGGTGAGCAAGGAGAGAGAGCGGGGAGAGACAGACAGGAGATAGAGAGAGAGAGAGAGAGAGAGGAGAGACAACCTGTGGAGAGAGCAAGGAGAGACAGCCAAGTGAGCAAAGAGAAACAGCCAGGGGAGAAAATGAGGAATGACAGCCAGGAGAGAGAGAGAAAGGAGAGACAGCAAGGAGGGAGAGAGAAAGGAGAGACAGCAAGGAGAGAGAGAGCGAGGGAGGTTTTTTTTCGTTGGTAGGTTTCATGTAGCTCGCCATTTGAAAAGTAGATCTTAACACAAAAATTGTGGGCTCCCCTGTTCTATAGTCTAATAAGTTGGATATATGACCTAGAAATAGTGCACTTGGCGCCTGTTAGTAATAATTTTGGTCTTTTACAGCTTATACATGTTCCCATGTTTTTATGCTTTTCTTGAATTAAGAGTTTCAGTGTTGATGGGTCTTATGCAGCCACCCTTGTGTGTAATAGCTGTGTGTGTTTCCATAAACACACAGGCATAGCAAGGCAAACCACTCCCCTTCTTCCCACTCCTCCCTTCTCCTTTCCCCAAGCTAGTAGAAGGACAGCTGCTGGACACAGTGTTCTCCATTGTAAACTCTTACTGGAGAGGAAGATTAGGCAACCAGAGCTAAGAGATTTGGAACTAGCTTTTTGGAAATATGATGACTGTAAGTGATGGGCAATATATAACTGTTTCTTCTTTATTAATTATTGCAAAAAGTTTGAGAGTTTAATACTCCGTACCAGCCTGAAGTGAATAGCCGAACAGTGTTCGGCTCACTTCACTTCTGATCGGTCATTCACTCGGCTGCCCTCGGCAGCTTTGTGAATAGACCCCATTGTGTCATCTGCATCAGAAGCAAAATAGTACATTCTCTATTCCTAATGTCAATTAAACAATAAGAATCCAAGGCTCCAGCAGGAAAAAGCACTGCTTTGTTGAATTCAATCTGGTGGTATGTTTACAGGATAGCAGTTACAAAAAGCTAAATTTAGGGATCAGAATGTCTGAGATCAATGTTGTTGTGGTGGATTACTGTGATATGGACTTCTTTTACTGGGATATGGCTGTTCATTTTGCAAAGTGAATGTTCACTAAGTTTAATAAATAAGATGAAACTACGTTCAATTCATTTAGCTGATCATGAACAAAAATCCTATTTTTTATTTTCCCTTTGCACATAATTAAGTATTTAACCCCTTCATGACTGAGCTTGTTTTTAGTTTCTGTTCGTAAATGACTGACACACTTTTGACATTTTTGCTGTGTGATTCTTCCACGTCAGTAATATACTTTCTTACAAAGTGCACCCACACATATTATATATTGTTTTTAGAGGACAGATAGGGCTACATATTTATATCACATATGTGTGTCTAATGCCTCACTTAGGACAAATAAAATATAAAAAAAGAGAAAAAAAACGTTAAAAAAACACTTTTTTCCCAGTTTTGATTTGTAGTATTTTTTTTACAACACCAGCACAGCTAAAAAAATGCAATAAATACATTCATTTATTTGTCCCTTATTTTATTTTTTTTTTACACATTTTTTTTTTACACATTATGTATCTATTCATGAAAGTATAGCCAGTAAGCCAGTATAGCTTGAGAGAGATATCTCTCTCGATCTATACGAGCTGTCAGAATGCCTGCAAAAGCCGGCATGTGTGTGTCCCTCTGCTTTGACTCTCAGACACCCGATATTAAGGTATCGGGTGTCTGAAAAAGGTTAACCCTTTCATTAATGAATGCCTCTGTAGTAAGGGCATCCATTAATGAATGTTAAAAGCTGATTCTCAGCGTTTAACAGCCCTCTAAAGAAGCAAATAACTCGTCACGTACAGTGTACGTGACAAGTCATTTGGTCCCTTTGTGGCTGGACATACAGTGTACGTCTCCCGTCACGAAGGGGTTAAAGTAAACACACATTTAATAACATTTGCTTTGCTAAATGACTCTACCCCTTTAATAAATTTAACCTCAATGCATGTATCATATATGCTTTTTACAACTGCATGTGGGCAAGTGTATCTCTTCAACCCCCTTTTGCTTTTGCATATAGGGATAATAAGTGCTTCTTATTTGACTGGAGAACAAAGAAATAACGTGCAATTCAATTGCATACAATATTTCTGATATATTGGTGATTAGTCCACTGTCCAATCTACAGAATTCCATGACTTTGGGTTAGGCAATTATTATTATTTTAATTATTATTATTATTATTATAATAATACAGGATTTATATAGTGCCAACAGTATGTGCAGCGCTTTACAGTATAAGGAAGACATTACGATTATACTACAATTCAAGACAAGATGGTAAGGTCCCTGCCCGTGAGGGGTTACAATCTAAAAGGTAGGGACAAGTGATACATGAGGAGGTAGCTATGGGGATGATTTGTGTCAGAGAACGTGATGGTTGAGTGGTTAGGTTGAGGTGGGATAGGCTTCCCTGAAGAGATGAGTCTTAAGGGATCGCCTAAAGGCAGTCAAGGTTGGAGATAGTCGGACAGGTTGGGGTAAAGAGTTCTAGAGGATGAGAGAGACTCTAGAGAAGTCCTGGAGGCAAGCATGGGAGCTGCAAAGCAGGAGGTCTTTCGAAGAATGGAGGGGACGGTAAGGGTGATACTTTGAAACAAGGCTTGAGATATTGTCAGGGGCAGAGTTGCGGATGGCTTTCTAAGTGGTTGTTAATACTTTGAATTTTATCCTTTGGGCTATTGGAAGCCAGTGGCGGGATTGGCAGAGTGGGTTGCAGACAGTGAGTGGTTGGTTAGGTAAAAGAGTCTAGGCAATGTTCATAATACTGTTGCTGTCCACAGCAAGAGCATCAACAATATGCAGGTGTATGCAAAGGTACTAAGCATTGAATCGAATACAGACTACAAGCACCGTAAACTACAATAGAAGCTAACATATAAAAAATAAGCCTGAAAAAAAAAAGTTATGCTACTGTACCTCCAAAGCTTCAGTAGCAACATCCACTTTATCTGGGAGATTTGTTGAGTTCTGTATTCGTTCTTCCAGTGAATTTAACCAAGCTGTCTCCAGATTCAAATAATGGAGAAGTTCTATCCAGCAAGACCATACTTCCTGTCAGACAAAGACAAGTTAAACTAATTCTCAGAAGGCAGCCTTTTACAATGCAAATCATCTTTTCTTCATGAATATTTCCACAAGGAATTATAAGAGCTTTTAAAATATCAATTATTTTTCATAAACAAATACTTGATTTTCTGTATCATATCTCCTGCTTCCTCACATGAAAGTGCTATGGAAGTTCTTAGAAAACTTCAAAATATGTGTCATAATTCAGTTTATTTGGCTGCTTGTGAATCTCATTAATAAATCAATGAGCCATAAGAGATTTAAAAAATGCAGATTTTGGATGACCTATATCAACGATTTGTTTTATCAAAAAAATCTGAAAAGAAAAGTATACTTCTTGAACTTATTAACTTGTAGATGCAAAAATGACACTAACATTATGCATTTTACTTGGTCTGCATAAAGAGGATCGAAAAATTATACATAATATAATGGCTATCTGATTCTTAAAATATGCAGAATACTTGAAAACATCAGTTCATCAAAAAGAGTAGCAAATAGTAGATTTTGGGTAAATGTTGTTGTTTTGAATTCCAACCCTGGACAGCGTATGTGTGCCAAGAAGACTTTGGTCTGTAAGGTAGAATGAACATTGCAACGTATACAAACTAAGAATTCCTATTTTATGCAAAGTTTGCTAGAAGTGGTTATGGGTGTATAACAGTGTGCAGAGGGTTAATTGAGAATCTTAAAGGGTTATTAAACCCTCTGTTTTTTTGCATATATCTACTGCTAGCAAGCAGTAGATATATGCAAAAAGTGTAAAAAATGTTTAAAAAATGCTTTAAAGGGGTTAATAGTTACCTGTGTCTTCCCCGCGCGCTCCCATCCGAAAATGTGAAAAATCACGGGCGGGCACATGCGCAGTTCACATTTTCGGCCGGGAGACGAGGAGAGACACAAGGTAAGTCTATGGACGCGTGCATCCGCATGCAGACACCGTGGGAAAGGAAGTGCCAGCAAGGACAGAGGAGTCAGCGCTGGATCGGAGACCCGCAGCAGCGCTGGAGGGACAGATGAAAACGACAGGAAAGAAGAAGAAGAAGATCAAATTAAGAAACATAATTTAAGGTAAGTGCTTTAATTAACAGTGGGGGGAGGGAAAAACATTTTTGACTTTAACGTCACTTTTAGGTGTATTTCCACTTTTGAAGCCAAATCGGGTTAACATACTTTATAAATATCATATAAATATAGGGCAATATTTTATATTTGTTACATTTTCTCATTCACATAGCATAACTTTAAAAAATAATAAAAACTGCTGCTTACATATTACTTGCTCTATTCTGAAAAATAAACTGAATTGTCCTCTGGAATGCAAGAGAGCTGAGCAGGTTAATGATAACATAATTAGAGTGACACTAAACTCAGGAGTTAAATCTTAAAAATGCATTCATGTACCTTAAATATTAACAAAAATGTATCTTATTTGTGAATCACTCAGCTGTAGATCCTCAAATCATCTCTGAATTGGTGCTGAATTGGTGCTAATTTCTAGGTATGCTGTGTGAATGGGAACACATAACAAACATAAAGAGGGGTTTTCTCAGTGTACATACAATATGTATAAACAACACACAGAAAAACAAGTGGCCTGGTTATTCCAACTAGACATTTTCAATAAGTATAACAAAGAGATTAAAAAGGGTAGAGAAATAAAAAAGGAAAAATATTTTAGTCACTAGAATTACCTCTAGTGTGTGACATTTCCCCCGAATCCTGTTACAAAGTTGTTGATAGTTGTCAAGAACCTCTTTCAGCTCCAATGTCAAGTCGTGGCCACCAGATGGTCCTTTGGCTGCCATTGCGTTTATATTATCCTTTAAGATCTTCACTCTCACCTCTTTCTGTAACACATCCTCTTTTGCTCGCTACAAATAAAATCAACATCTAAAATTATATTCTTTCTCAGTGATAAGAAGCAAAAACAAGAATGGGTTGTTGAGTCTTTTTGGCTTACATTATTCATACCGAGACATTACCAAAATATCTAAAAACACCAGAACAAAGGCTGTATGAAATAATCAACTCTCAGTACTAGAAATCATTTCTTGAACAGAAAGTTATCAGTCATACAATCTGTAATCCAAGTCATTTGTTATGAAGGATAGTGCATAAATACATTTACAGACCATATGACAGGCATGCAAAAAAAAACAGAGGTTGAACTTGGATGACATATAACTGCAGCATAAACATGTTTGGAGAAATGCATTCACTGGTATGCTGGTAGTACTTGGCATTTTCATGAGTACTACCAGCTGGGACTTGGCTCTAGTGCTCCACCACTGTCCTGAAATCATTAGTCTGTATTGTTTTAGAAAAACTGTCACATGACAATAAACAGAAATGTATCAGTACTCGTGCTTGTAAGTACTTGGGCAAGTATCAGTTCTTGTACTCGCAAAACTGGTATCTGTGCATCCCTTTATTTATATTTATAAAAACAAAATCATACATTAAAACAGAGATGTACAAATCCCAGGAGCTCCGTGTGCTCCTTACTAATGACAGCCGCCTCCTAACTTTTGAATATTTCTCTAGTCTAGTCTTGGAGCTCGAAAAGTATCCGTACTTGTACTTGTTCTGAGTACTGTACTTGGTATCGGTGCATCCCTCTCAAAGTGTTTTTATCTGGGGATTTGCACTTTGGTGGTAAAATAGTGGATTGGAGCTAGGAGTGAAGGAAGGAAGCCAGACTAACAATCTGGACATTCTAAAAATGTATGGAAACACGTTAATCCATGGTAAAGTAGAACTGAAGTCAAAACCTTTTTTATTTTTTTGTTTTGAATAGAGTAGGGGAGGGTTATAACCCGTCAGCTTCTATATGCATCCCATTGGGGAGATTTATTTACACTTCATGTCTGAGTGAGAAGAAGTGAGAGGAAATCCCTGGTGGTCAGCAGGGTCACTAGAATTGTATATCCATTAGAAGGTTTCCCCTCTATCCCTGTTCTGGTGACATTCACTTTCAGTCATAATGGTCACCAGGACAAATGGAGAGGGTACATCTCCTTAATGGGGACACACACAGCAATGAAAACATGACGGGTGTTCTAATCCCTCTCCATTCTATACATGACTAAAAAATAAAAAAAGTTTTGGCTTTAGTTGTTTATTTTAATGGATTTCAATGAAGAATGCATTTTTCATCAAATGGACAGCAGTGAATGCAGCCTCTAGGATTTTCATTGTGTATGCCGGCCACCCATTTACAAAAGTAGCTCAGCTGTACACAGAGGTGAATTGACGTTGAAATAACAATGCTACAGCATGACCAATTGGAATACTGGCATTTGTGATTCTACATGAAGAACTGACATGAAAATTAGCAACTCTGTTTATTGATAATACAGCGAAAATCATTACATTTTTTTATGAAATAAAGAGCAATTGTATTATTTTTAGGGTTACAAATTAAATTAAAGGAGAAGTATTAGGGGAGTAAAATCTACTTTTATCAATACTTATAGCCAGCGTGGGACATCGCAGCTGCCACACACCAACTCTATATACTAAGAGATGACCGATCAGGAACCGCTGATTGCTCAGCTCATGACTTCTTCCTGCAGAGAGCAATGAATGTCATGGCTCCCCTCCTCACAGAGATTCACCTCTTTAGTCTCTATTCCTCCAGCGCTCATTGGAGGGACAGACAGGGGAGGGGGTGGGCACAATGGGCCTTGGCTCTAGTCAGGATCCTTCCCAGTTGCAGTGCAGTTCTATGCTGTGGTCAAAGGGGTACATCAGTGAATGTACTCTTGTGACCCAAAAGAGAAGTAAAGTAACTAAACAAAAAGGAAAGGTTTGGCTTTACTTCTCTATTAAGTTTCCTTTGGTGCTTGCCACGTGAACTCATAGCTGTAACACTGCTAGGAATATACTTAGTATATGCATACATTTCTACATACAGGGATGGCTTAATCATCACATTCATGATAATCTTGATGCACAAAACTTTGTTTTGAGACTGATGCCCTAATCAAGTATTTTTCCTTTTTAAATTTTTTCAATTAAATTACGATAAAAATGTACGTTTCTATGAAAGACTCTGTTTACATGTCTGTGATGTGATATCACAGGTGTGCTGCAGGACGTGGTGCGTTAGGGCTGCCCATTCATTTGAATGGGATGCCTACCATACCTAAATTGCACTAAAGGAAGTGCATGAGCCTTTTTTTTTTCAAATTGCATCACACCACAATGAATGGTCATAAGTTATGCTTATCGTTGTTATGCGATGCAATGGCTAGGTTAGCAGGGGAACCATTAGGAAACAATAGCACTGCAATGCAACAATGTGACATGCAATTTCTTCCAATGCTCAAAGCTCCCTTATAGCAGTGGTGTGATCTGAGCCTAAGTCACGGTTTGAGCTGATGGTCACTTCCTCTATTGCAATTACTGATTTAATTTTTCATAAAAAGTTCATCATTTCTAATGTTTCTCTTGTGTATGATTTATAAACACTTTCTGGTTCAGAAAAACCTCTGCTAATATTTTCCATTAGACAGTCATTCTTGCTAACAGCGACACTCCCATTATATGCAGATACAAGGTGATTTCTGCTAATAAAAGGCATGTTGGAGCTTTAAGGTGACCCCCAAAGACTTTTAAAATACAATTCCCAGAGCAGCAAAAATGTCATTGTTTTCACTGACATAATTTTGTAGCAACATAACATGACAATACTTGAGAACCAGGTAATAACTAAGGTTTCCAAATAATGCACAGCAACCTCCAATAGTGACACACTTACAGTTTACAAGAGCCAGGAAGACAACTTTAATTAGATAGGATCTAATTCTACCAGGACCTTTGTCCTCAAGCATAACCTTCAGAAGGAAAAAGGTTTTTTTTCCTAACAGATACGCTTGACGTCAGATGCACAGGAACTTTCAGCAAGAGAAGAATAGAAAATCATTCAACTGAGTGCCTCTACAGAGACAGAAACCAAAAATGCGCCTTCTATTGTGAAGTATCCCTTTATTAATTTAAAACCAAAGTAAAAAAAGAACTTACTCACACATTCAAGTGTATATATGACCTTCTATACAGATCCACAACACAAGACTGGAGCTGTAGCCATAATCCATAGCTACAGATATATGATCAGTAAAGTTTCCCTAACTGATGAGGTGCTGCCACCTTGGGGGAAGATTTAACTTTTGTGGTCCATAGCAAGGGCCCCTTGTACTGGTGTATGAGCAGCAACTTATGATGACTGAGTGCCTTTACAGCACATAGGTCATTCTGTATTCCTTTACAAATAACAACTCCATAAGATAGTTTTCTTTATATTTTATAGTTCTACAATTTTTAGCATCCTGGAATTTAATATTTAGTTGATCACTCAGTTGCTGGCCCCGCACAGACTGTGTTTCAAATGTGATCTCTCGGATCAACAAAATGTACCAACCTCAATGTGATCTGAAAAGACCCACGGCCAAATCAAAATAAATGGTCGGAGCCGGCCGTGACGTCAACCCCAAGCTCCATCTATATGTTGACTTTTGGCCGGCTGCTATCATTTGGTGGCGTGTGTTCGTCGGGGGAGGACAGGTCGGTGGGCGTCTGGCTTTTTTTTATTTCCACGGGTTTGTAAAATACAAACTTTTTGAAGTGGCCATAGGCAACAAAAAGCAGTTGGATTAATTGTTTTCCATAGTGTAGAGGTTCAATGCCTATGATAGGAAGAGTATTGGCCAGACACCTCTAAATCAAGCATATCTTAGGAAAAACAATTGTGATCAGACAACATCTAACACATATGTTTGCATAACAATTTTTAAGATGTAGGATAGCCCCTAAAATCTACTGTGGTCTCTTAGTGCTCAAAGACATAAAGATCCTGCCATTCGGGCACAAATCCTCTCACATTTATGACCACCTTTAGGTCAGATCCAAGCCAACCCTGGATACATTTATGGACAGATAAAGATAGGTAGACTTAAAAACCATGTTGTTTCTACATTTTTACATTGACAGCCCATTCCGCAAACATTTCTAAAAATGTAGTGCATAACTCTTACTTTCATTTCTTCTAAAGCGCTCTCAAGCTCTTCAGGAGACTTGTATTCAAAATCCTTTTCCAAATATTCCTCTTCAGCTTGCGTCATCCACTCTTGCATTTCTGCCAAGTCCTTCTTCAAATTTACAGCTTTCTCCTGACTTTCAGATAACCTGTTCATCTGATGAATTACCTGAAAAGCAAACATGTACTTAACATAAAATTATTCCAACTACCAAACATGACCAGAATGTGCAGCAATTATACCCATATAAGGACTTTAAAAAAACGTACAATAAAACTAATGTATAGTGAGATATTTCTGTAGTCAAAAACCATCCTGGCATTTTCTTACAAACTTCATATGAACTTCTAGCAAGAACAGGTAAAGAACATTCTTAACAACTTCCCAACCATGTCACACATACAGGTGAAACTCGAATAATTCGAATATCGTGCAAAGTTCATTTATTTCACTAATGCAACTTAAAAGGTGAAACTAATATATGAGATAGACTCATTACATGCAAAGCAAGATACTGTAATTCAAGCCGTGATTTGTCATAATTGTGATGATTATGGCTTACAGCTCATGAAAACCCCAAGAACCCCAAATCCACAACCTCAAAAAAGTAGATTATTACATGCAATCAATAAAACAAGGATTGTACATAGAACAATATCGGACCTCTGAAAAGTACAAGCATGCATATGTACTCAGTACTTGGTTTGGGCCCCTTTTGCCGCAATTACTGCAATTACTTTTGCACGATATTCTAATTATTCGAGTTTCACCTGTATACGCAGCATCACGGAAGTAAGATTTCTTCTGTGGTGCTGCATATATGCAGTATGTGCTTGTGTTGGAAGCAAGCTCCAAAGCACACTTCTAGAACCCGAGCTGTCACCAAAGTAACGATTGGGAACTGGTCTCAAAGTAACGATTGGGAACTGGGAGGACCGACTCCCGTTCATAGTTACATATGATTTGAGGTTCAATAAAGACACAAGTCCATCAAGTTCAACGTGTGTGTGTGTGTGTGTGTGTGTGTGTGCGTGTGCTTGTGTATATGTGAGTCCCTGTGTGTTCTGGTCTTTAAGACTACCTGTACCCCTGTATGTTATGGTCTCTGAGAAAGGTATACCACTGCTTGTGGAAGACAAATTTAAACAGCTTTAACTTAAAAGGGAGCCCTACAACCTTTTTGGTAAATCTCATGTCCTCCAATTTTAGGTGGTGGCCTTTTGTCTTCTTTAGGGAGTTTAGCGTAAATAATGTATTGCTGATGTTGACATCACCATTAAACATTTTGTACATCAAAGTCATGTCCCCTCTTAATCGCCTCACTTCTAGAATAAAGAAGTTTAAATTTAGCAACCTTGTCTTATAGTTTTGATCCTCCAGCCCCTTAAACAGTTTTGTTGCCCTTCTCTGGACCCTCTGCAGCTCAAGGACATCCTTTCTGTGGATTGGTGACCAAAACTGAACCGCATACTCAAGATCAGGGCGAACCAGTGATCTATAAAGTGGTAAAATTATCGCTTTGTCTCTACTGTACATTCCCTTTTAAAGTGATATTAAAGCCCCCCACATCTTGCTGCCTTAAATGATGCCTCTTGATCCGATAGTTTTCAGCAATCCCTCCAGCGCTGGTGCCAGTTTCTGATCCAGCACTGATTGCTGTGTCTTATGTGTCTCACGGAGTCTGTCCACGTGCACGCTGTCGGGCTGCGTCTTCCCTCTTCTCCCGGCCGAAGATCTCTACTGCGCATGCGCCCGCCCCACCATCGTTCTTCGGACAGGAACGAGCGGCGGAGACAGAGGTAAGTAAAACCCTTTTTGGTAACTTTTTATTATTTATTTTTTTGCATGTATCCACTGCTTGCTAGCAGAAGATATATGCAGAAAAAACAAACAAGGTTTAATTATACTTTAATGCATGACAGTACTCTGCTAGCTTTGTTAGCTGCAGCTTGGCATTGCATGCTATTGTTTAATCTAGTCAACTATGAATCTTCTTCTTCTCCCAAATCTTTTTCCATTTCTGACTTCCCTAGTGGAGTTCCCATTATTGTGTATTCTGCTTGCCTATTTGTAACCCCAAAATGCATTACTTTACATTTATCGACATTAAACCTCATCTGACATATAGTTGTCCACTCTATTTTATCCAGGCCCTCTTGTAATGTTATAATGTCTAAGCTCGTGTCTATTACCCTCCCAATTTTAGTATCATCATGTGATTACTGTGGTCACTGTGAATTGAAGCCTCCCCTGTACAGCAGTTTCTTCTCTGTGAGAAAGAAAAGATAAATTGTCACCAAAGAAGAAGTTAAAGACGGCAGGAGAAGTGAACAATCTAGGCCAAAATAGCTGATTTTGAAGAATTCTCCAATTCAGCTCACTTTCCAGTTCAGCTATGTTGACCTAGATTGTTCACTTCTCCTGCCTTCCCCAACTCTTCACCCTTTTGTGAATAGCCCTGTTAGTGTCAGTGTCTTTAGGTAGAATTAAAAACACAAAAAAGAAAATGTCCACTATTGTGCCTGGGCCTACTATGGGTACAAATAAGGCACACATATGTGATATCACCATGAGCATCAGGAGGAACATTTATCTAGCTTTTTTTTTGGTGGTGGGTCATAGTAATTGTATAAAAATATATAAAAAATTATATTGTTTTACTTTTTGGGGCCACTGCTTCTTTGATAATTAAAAAAAAAAATTGGGAGCTATCCATTACTATTACTACAACCAAATAAATGCCCAATTTGCCCTAAAAAATGATACACCTGAATACACTAAGCGCAATGGATACACTAAGAACTTGCAGATATGTACAGTTTTATAAACACATGTCAAAGTTGCAAAAATGTGTTCAGGCATTATGGTGTTTTTTTATACATCAGTAAGGGGTTAATCAAAGATAACCATACAAAAGTGCCCGTTTGATATCTGCAATTTTTCCAAGCTCTATGGCAATAGTACAGTGCATAGGGCCCCAAGGACAGCTACAGACCCTGGGTGACCTCTGCTGGAATGAAGGAACATAGAAAATGTTTTAGTCTTTCATGTTTTCTTTTCCAGTGCTAGAGTAGACCAGAAGGTGACCAAAAGGGTCAGAAGACGTGCATTTACCCTGTGCAGCCATAAAGTACACATTTTTTACTATCATTAACAGACTAAAGTTGTCTCATATAAACTTAAATACACAATATGTTACAGCAGGTCAGGACCAGTAAAAAAAATTTAAATGTTTTGTCTAAAAGTTACAATCCTAGAAGGGGGGGGTGTACTTTTGGACACCAAAGTTTGTATACCTACAGGCTCCAGCAATGAAATGTCACCCTAATTTGGATACGTCGAATTTTGTTTACCTGTTTACTTAGCAGTTCCCATTGTGTCTGCTGGTCAGCGAGCCTTGGTAGTATCCATGTATGGATCAATGTATCGGAATGACTTTTCAGTGCCGTTTCCACATCTGATAACTTGTTCAAACTTCCTTCCACAACTTCCATGTCATTCACAAGCGCCTAAGGTTGAAAAAAACAAAAATAAAGGTGACCCCATTGTACAACACAAGATAAACTGTACCCAACTGCTATTCAATGATGAGCTCAAATCTGCTCTTATAATTGTATCTAAACTCAATCAACACCCAGCACTAAGGAAAAACTGCATAACCACATTCAAGGAAGCTTCACCACCAGCTCCCTTGGTGGTGAGCAAAGTGGGAAGTGAGGGAATATCTCTTTAACAATATGTGCTTCATTAGCTTCAGTAGGGTTTGTAGGTGACATTAGGCATCTAATAGATCCCTCATGTCTCCATATGAACCTGTCACTTCCTCTGTGTGTAAAATAGTGAAGTCAGATTGCTGATTGGCTAAGCCATTTCCTCTTTTAGGATGACAACGCTGTCCTGCAGGGTCAGACTGCAGGCACATTGTTGTCACAATCTTAGGCAAGCTCCCTTCTGGAACTACAACTGTGACGACCTATAGTGCATGTTATCTTTAGCTTCCCCACCCACTGAAATATGAGCACTGCCAGCAGCTGAACTAGAAGTTCAGGGCCACAGCAATAGTATCTTTAATAAGATAAAATGGTTTAATGGTACTTTAAGCAATCTTGAAATATGGTGTTGTAATACGTTTGCATTAAGTTTTAACCATTCCCCAGGGTTTATGAACAAATGTCCTAGTTTTCGAAATACAGTTTTGGATGATTTATTATTCCCCATATTAGATGTGACACCTATTATGGTACAACACACATTGATGTAAGCAGGGAACGCTGGGTAGTCACCTCTGTAGGTTACTCTGTACCCTTAAAACCATTTCCCGGAAGAATTGTATGTGAGCAGCAAATTCATGTTCCTGTATGAAATTCTTTGCTAGGGATCTGTAGTCCAGCAGAAATTAAAAACATATAAACACATTGAAAGCAGTACAAAGCGCCTCTTACATACATTATTAAAAATAAATATATGAATAGTAAATTGTTTTAGCTGGGTACCTACTTTTGGCCTCCCAGCAGGGACTGACAACTAACTTCCCAGCAAAAACAGTCTAATATTTTATTATAGTGTTAATCATTGAAACACTTTATTGGTACATTTTTTAGTTTAAAAAAATATTTTGTTTTCTAAGGCCTGCTGACATACAATTGCAGCAAGTTTTTTTCTAAATTCCCTTATTGTACATATTTCTTTCTAAAGACCAACAGTGCAGTAAACATTGTATACTTTAATAACTATTTCTGCAAAGGATTCCAAATGTTATTGCCTGAAATTATTATTTCTTTGAAGACTGGAGACTTATCACATGTCCCTTTTAGTACAGTATATCTACCCTTCGACTTTAAAACAGCATAAATTCTCCTAGGTACATCTGCACAGGATACGTGCAATTTAAAGCAAAACGCCAGTTAGACAGTTTTTTTTTTTATTAACCGTTGCGCTGGGGCTACCCCCGCACTGCAAGGGTTAATTGCTCATTTTTGATTGGGGGAAAAAAAACTAAATTATACTCAACCAATTTAGCCTCACTGCAAGGGTTAATAACATTTCTAAATGCAGTTGTTCATATAATTTTTGCACCTTTGTCCTGACCTAACTTAATGGCCTCTCCCAATCTACAGATAAACAAACCCCGGAAGCCACAGCCGCCGGATCGAGGTAAGTATGCATCTGTGGAGGGGGAGGGTAGGTTCAGTTAGGTCAGGACAAAGAGGACAAGTGCATTTGGTCTTAAAGGACACTTATCCTTTAAGGAACTCAACAGTTAGGCTTTTTCAAACATCTAGGAGACATAACCACAACTCTTCTGTGGATTTAGGATGTCTCAGTTGCTTCTGTCTCTTCATGTAATCCCAGACAGATAAAACAATGTTGATATCAGGGCTCTGTGGGGCCCATGCCATCCCTTCCAGGACCTCTTGTGCAAGTGCGTAAACCTTTTGCACATTACTGTAGTATATTACTTGATAATGAACAAGTCTGTAGGGATAGAATACTTATAATATTGCAATGTCGAAAAGAAATGTTAGAACATAGTTACATAGTTAGTCAGGGTGAAAAGAGACACAAGTCCATCAAGTTCAACCTATAGAGTTATAAGAGAAAGAAAAAAAGAAGAAAAACCTAAAACAGAAAGCTATGCCCACAGTTACCCACTGTTGATCCAGAGGAAGGCAAAAAAAAAACTTTTAAGCAAAGCTCAATTTGCTCCAACAAGGGAAAAAAAATCCTTCCTGTTCCCATAAGGCAATTGGACATTGCCTGGAACAACAATCTCTGGTGCTTAATATACCTACCTTAACATCCAGTAATATTCTGTGCATTTAGGAATACATCCTGAATTTTTTTTTTTAAACAATTAACTGAGCTAGCTAGAACTAGCTTCTGGGGGAGTCTATTCCACACAAAAAAGAAAGGCTTATACCCAGAGTACCAAACCCAATTTTGATAAACCCATTAATTGATTGATTAAGTGAGTGACTCTCAGAACAACCCCCAACTGTTTGGCAAGACAGACAAGAGGAATTATGAAATGATCAATAGAATCAAATCAAAGAACAGCACTAATGAGGGTCGGAGAGTCACAAGTGTTGTATAAAATAGTATAAATTTATTAGTAAAAATTATTTGTCACTGTAAATACCACTTAGCCACCACCTAATTGTAATCTAAAAACAAAGTTATTGCAATAACTCACTCTCGCATACCAAAAAACATGCACACTAGGACGGGCTGATCAACGTTGTGTGTAATACCGGTTTAACTCAAATTCATTGAGGAGACAGCGCTGGAAAGGATAATATAAACTATGTAGCTCTATTCCACATTTTCACAGCTCTAACTGTAAGGAATCCTTTCCGTATGCAAAGGTTAAACCTCTTTTCCTCCAGACGCAAAGAGTGCCCCCTTGTCCCTTGCAGTGACCTTAAAGTGAATAATTTGGCACCAAGCTCACTATATGGACCATTTATGTATTTATACATGGTGATCATGTCCCCCCTTAATCGCCTCTTTTCCAGAGAGAACAAATTCAGACCAGTTAATCTTAACCCCTTAACTGAGCTCCTCCATGCCTCTTATCAGTTTAGTTGCCCCTCGCTGGACTTTCTCCAGTTCCACAACATCCTTTTTGTGAACTGGTGTCCAAAACTGAACTGCATATTCCAGACGAGGTGTTACTAATGCTTGGTACAGGGGCAGGATTATGTCTCTATCTCTGGAGTCTAGACCCCTTTTAATACAAGAAAGTATTTTGCTTGCTTTAGAAACTGCAGCTTGACATTGCATGCTATTATTGAGTCTATGGTCTCCAGAACACCCAAAACATACTCCCCCTAGAGTGTATGATGCATGCATGTTTTTAGTACCCAAGTACATAACTTTGTGTCTAACTGTTTCTGGACCAAATCAATAGTCAGCCATTGTGGTTCATTAGAGGCTATGGCACTGTCATCCCCAATATGGACTTGAGTTACACCCTGTTCCTTGGTGTGCACAGAGCTGAAGAACATATTTAATAGATTTGCCTTCTCTTTGTCCCCAGTTACCAACGCTGAGTTATCTTGTAAGGGGCCTACATGCTCAGACCTGATTTTTTTACTATTAATATACAGGTAGTTAAACAATTGTTGGGGGTTAATCTTGCATTTTTTTGCATATTTACATTTTTTCACTAAACCTATATACATATCTTACCATGCACTGGTCTAGCTGTCCCTGTAGTGCCTCAGAATCGTCTGAGGCTGTGTGTTGGTTGAGTACAAACTCTTTTGCTTCACTGATCCATTTCTGTACAGATTTGGAATTATCCTGAAGAGACAGAAAAGCAAATTATCATCATATGACTAAAACTAGGAATATAACATATACTGTTGGTTATATCTGAAAATTAAACCCCTAACATAAGTGTAGTATGCAAGTAATAAAGAGGCAAAAAAATGTTTTTTGATGTCAAATCAACAAACTTGTTCATTGCATTTTATGCCACAAGACATTTTGATGTTCTTACCAAAAATGCCAACCATAGACTCCCTAAATGTTTTTAGCTGAAACAAGGCCATGAGATAGAAAAGGATTATAAACTTGCATTCTATCCTACACTAAACAACTCTGTGTATCATCAGCTGTAAAAATATCCAACAGGATATATCAATATTGACAAGCATATATACAACACTAAAACATGTGCAAAATTGTGCAAATACTATAATTTAACATTACAAAAAAATCATTAGTCCGTACAACCCAGAATAAAAGTCCAAATTCTTAGGGAACTAAACATATACAGTATATACAGTATTATCCTCCTCCACAATAATAGTGCTTTAGTACTTCAATATATATATCTTTCAAATAGTGCCACATAAAACATGCTCTTCACCAGCTCCACCATCAGTGGTAAAAACACAAGTTTAATGATGTCAGTCCTTCCAAATGTGCAAACTCTTAAAGTTTAATTCACTAAATTAGGATCATTCTTTCAGAAAGTGGCACCATAAATCCTCCCTTATTCATTACCCATAAAGCAGGCACCAAGAGGTATAGGGAGGAGAATGCATACATAGCGGAAAAACTATCTTAATCAAAGTTTAAAATAAACAGCAAGCATTAAGAATTGCACTCTTTCTATACCCAGCACTAAGGAAAAACCGCGTAAATACTGTACTGGCCCCTGAAAGCGATCTGGCAGAAGCTGAGCCACCGGAATCGCTTTCAGCCGACAGTCGGTTTTACAAATGTAAACAGAGTCTGTTTAAATTAGCCCGTTTCCACCGACGTATGATATACACTGGTGGCAGCAAAAGGGTTAAAGCATCCGCATGGGCAATTTTGCATTTTGCCATGGGTGCACGCAATTTTAGTGTTTTACATGATTAGTATCTTTTTACCCAACACAACCCGATCTTTTATAATTCATCAAACAAATGGGCATTATATTGTGTTTGCATGTAATAACATTCCTTTTAGTCTATTTTTTCTTAAAAAAATATCGTTTTGAGAAACATTTGCACAAATGCTGTGAAAAACTGTGTGTGCAGGTTTATTCTACAAGGCATCTGCTTTCAGTAAATATATAATTGTACAATTGATAAACATTTTATATAAGAACAATTAAAGGATATCTAAACTCAAGAACACTTCCTGTGAGCTGAACTGAACGCACACAAACAATTACTAAACTACTAATTCTCTCACTCAACATTGTGAGGAACACATGTTTGAAGTCCAACCTGGACGGGAACCATGACTCCTTTCATAGATACAGTGGCTGATTGAGTGGAGTCAGCCTAGAGTAGGAAGTGTGTTATTCACAGAATTACCCGGTAAAATAAAGGAACCAAGCCTAAATAAAGAAACAGAACGCAGCAACCTAATCTAAGGCCTGGTAAGCTGCACAATATTTTTTGTTTTTGAAATTAGATATGCTTTAATTATCATTGCAGTTCTATTTGCCTTACCTCAAATTCTGTCAGTCTGGAAGTTATGTCCTCTAGAATACATATGTGATCAGCACAGATACTCTTTAGTTTGCTCCACTGCTCCTCTATGTCCCTGCACTCATTCATGTATGCTGCTGTTTTGTCTTCCGGAGCTCTCTTCTCCAGAAGCCTGGTTTCAGTGTACAATGTATCAAGGTGCATCTTCTGGTCATCTAATGTCTGTAAGAGAACCTGAAAACAAGAGGCCGGAGACCAGTTATAATTTCTTATAAAGTGCAAAAACCTTTGTAGAGCAAATAGTCAGAAGCAAAAGGCTAGCTGTAAACAAGAGGAATGAAATTAAAAATTAACAAAAAATTAACAAGAGGAAAAAAATTAACAATGAAGCTTCCCCTGCTTCCCAATACTGTAGTTAAGTCACGTGTTGACAGAGGTCTGATCCACATCCGTATGCACATGTATTGCTCAAGTATTTATCCAAGTTCCCGCAGTGAAGTAAACATAAGTGGAAACAGGACTTGGGTACCACTTCAGATGAATAATGGGAAGAGATCCTCTGGCTACTCTTTAAAATGTCTCTGTCCCAATCTAACAGACTCGCTCAACTAATTATGCTGCATAAGGCCTATTGAACCCTGAAGTTCCTTCATAATTTTAGATTGTAAGCCCTCACGGGCAGGGCCCTCCTTACCATCTTGTCTTGAATTGTATTGTGATTATAATGTCTTCCTTATATTGTAAAGCGCTGCACAAACTATGGGCACTATATACATCCTGTATAATAATAATAATGTGGGCAACTTAATTCATAACTAAACTCAGCCTTTAGTGACTCTCTCTTGAATGATGCTACTACTTGCATTCTGGGATATTTTGATGCCACTACTCTGGATTAACATCTGGTTGATGCTGTATCCAGGGACTATTCACTGCAAGAAGGTATCCCACAATATCAATGCCACAAGATTGAAGCAGAACTAATACAGGGGCCAGCACCTTTTCGAACACCTGAGGTGCAGACGGGAGCCCGAAAGGGCAGGGCCACGGAATGGTAGTGCACACCAAAGCATAGGAATTGTTTGTGCAGTGGAAAGATGGGGGTATGTACAAAGAAATCTTTGATGCCTGGACGCCATACACCAAATGTCAGACTGAGGACGACCAGACTGGAAAGCTGCAATCAAAGAGACAAAGCTCCAGCATTTGTGCAGAGAAGAGTTTTTTCGAGAGAGAAAAAATAAAGAAAAAAGGAAAAAGCAAAAAGTAACTTTGTCTTTAAAGCAGCAGAACTGCAAAAAAAAGGTGTCGTTCCTCCTAGAACACTAGCAAAAAACTGAGCCATGCTGGTAGGAGGAGGGGTTATCCTGGGCTGGCCTACAGTTTTTCTTTGTTTTCAAGTGTCCAATCTTCCAAGGCAACAGTATAACTCAAAGATTTAAGACACCCTGTGTCCCTCTAAAGACAAGAAAGCAAAATGTATTTTCCTCCTAAGCTATGCACACTGCATATAGGGTAAAGTGCACTGCAAGATAAACTAACAAAACAAATGGAAAAGTAAAGTCTGGAAAAAAAACATGATTTACACAGCTTTAATTCCTTAATAAGGGAAATAAAACAAAGTGACAGAGAGAAGGTTTAGTGTGTTTAGTTAGGGTGTTTGCATTATATGTTTGCTATGGTGACATACTTTGTACTGTCAGCTCTCTCAGTTCTTATTGTGACACTTCATTCAAGGAGATGAAATTACCTGATTGTAATAATGAGCCAGTTTTCATAGAAGAGAACAGCTGAAATATTTGCACAAGGAATTTTCACCATTCAATGCTCACGTTGCAAAACACGCATATTATGTAAAATGATAATATCTGATATCAGATGATGTCAGATGAGATTTTGTTCACCGGGTATCTTGTTCACCACTGTTTTTTTTCAGTTGCCCGAGCTCCTACTCAGACGTTTTCTTCTCAGGCTCCTGCTTTTATATCGATATATATTTTACTACAAACCCTTACCTATCTTTTTTGGTGGATCTGTCATAAAAGAAAAATGTGGGCCTCCTTCTGAAAATGCTAGTTGCCAGAATGCGTATGCTGCAATCCCCCGCATTGCATGGGTTAACTGCTTGTTTTTGTCTAAGGGTATTGTGTAAAGGACTTTTACTTACCTGATCCCCGCTTTCAAAGTCTCCAAGACCAGCGCTTGTGGCGTCCGTCTGCCAAAGGACATCATGTCATCAAATCACGTCTAATGCAGGGCCCATAGTCCTGCATTATATGTGAGGATGCCGAGGGACAGTCCACAAGCCAGAGTGGAGGAGAGAGAGAGGAGCAGAGGGGAGAGAGGTGAGCATCTGGGAAAGCGCGTATTAGGTAAGTAAAAGTACTTTAAACAGATCCCTCAGCTATTAAAATCAGTTAACTCTTGCAGTGTGCAGTAGCCCCAACCACAAGGGTAGTATTTTATTTTTTACCTGGAGATAGGCATTAAATACCCATTTGGGTAGGGAAGAGCCCTCCCGCAGGCTACCTCATCTGTGTGTAACTGGCTCCCCAAAGTCACTTTACTTCATTTCCCAGCCAGTCGCAGCTGTCATTATCATGAACAATGCAGGACCAGCAGTCTTGCATTGTATGGGAAAATATCAGGGTTCCGTCCACATTTTTGCACTTATTCCTTTCCCCCACCAGACAAACAAGCATTTAACTCATGCAGTGCGGGGGGACCACACTGCATGAGTAAATTTCACAACAGCCCGAAGTTGGGCTTTAGGGCTTACAAGCCCCATAGTGGCAGATTTAAGGTGTGTATAGATAGCCTTTAAAAGCTTCTCTGAGCCCTGCCTGCATCACGCTGCACTCATGTTTTGTTCAGCACAGTGCAAGGAATCTGAAAACGACACATGCGTTGGTGTGCACAGATTAAAACAGGACACGCAGCCTAAAAACATACAACATGTATAATTAATTTTACCAGCCAAAGGTCATTCTGCAGTTTTTTTGATTCAGGTATCTCTGCCAGATAGCACAGCCAGGGCAGTGACTGACTGCACAGTGTTAAGCAACAAAGACCTGATTGACTGACCCCCAGTCCCAGGAAGGCAAAAAAGATGACTATAATAATGGTATCTAATTATACATGAAATTATTTTATGGGATATGTAAATGAATATAATATGTTTTTTTTGTTTCTTCCTAAACTTCATCTTTACAAACTAGAAGGTGGCAAATCAGTAAATGTGTTTACTATTTTCACCCTTTGTAAAAAGGTAGAAAATCTGTCGATGGGAAAATAATGCCATGTCAACTGGACCTTGAGGCACCTAAAGCACTTAGAGCCTGATCAGCCTTCATTTGCCGAGACAAAATGATTTCAGACTTTCAGCTAAGAAAAAAAAAACGTGGGAGGTTGGAAATGTTGCATGCATTTTCATTAAAACCAACCTTTGCCTGTTGAAGTGCCAGCTCAACTGTTGCAGGGTCACAGAGCCCTGTTAGTTGTGATTGTAATTTGTGTTGACATTCCACTATTGTTTCTCTCAACAACCTCCGGGTATCTAGATACTTCTGGCTGGGCTGGTGATCCAGGGCTATAAACATAAATTATGACAGCAATGCATAAATAGATTCTCAGTGAAAACTAATGTTTTCTATACACATTCACAGAAACATGTGCACTGTTAATACCAAGCCAAACTTTGCATAATGTAATTACTTAAATGAGAGAATCTTAAAACAAAATGAAACGTGTTTTAAATCTGGTATGGGCATTAGAGACAAGGAGTCTCCTGATTTGATCTTAATTATAATTACTTTTTAATGTGTTCTTTTTTGTAATCTTTGTACATATTGCGCAATGCTATAAGGTAAATGGTAAAAGAATGATCAGGTATTTAAAACTGGTAAGGTCTAGTTCAGGGTTCTCTCTCCTATCTGTCTGTTAAAGTGAACCTGTGTGTGACAAAATTATAAAAGTAATGTAAGCAGCAGGTAGCTGACAGCATAAGCTGTCAGTAAAACCCTCCTGTGGTATAAACGTTTACTGCATTACTGTCTCAAGCCTCTCAAAATAAAAATAGCGACTTTCCCCAAATCCCAATGCCTATAGATATAAGCACTAGTCCTTAAGTGACAATGCCCAGACCTGTCAATAGGCTCTTCATGTATCATGAATAGGATTGTGGGGTAGGGACAGGATTGTGTGTCTTATCACCACTAACAGAGCATTAGAAGCATGAGCGTGTCACTAAGCTTAATTTGGGCTCGTAAGGATTTTTATATTTCAGAGCACATACTCAAAAAGCTAAAGCCTTCCGGGGGATCAGAACTCTCTCTTCATCAGGGATGGGGAACAAAATGATATAACACAATATAAGCTTATTGTTTTGTATTGTTTTATGTTATTTTGTTTCCTAGCCCTGATAAGGGGGAATTCTGAGCCCCTGAAACATTTTGGATTTCTGATTACATGTTGTGAACATTTTTACTGGACTAAATCAAGCTTTGTGACACTCTCATCCTTCAAATGCTCTACAGATTACTCAAGGAACACATTACGGTTGACAGACAGCTTTACCCCTACTTCTGTCCACTCAGGGATCCAGCATTTCACCAACACATACCTATTATCTCTACTACAAGGCAGTGGAGAATGTGGGGGCACTGCTGGAGAAGACACTTCTAATAGAAAATGCATATGCTGACATATACATGCTGCTTATGTTATTTTTATCATCTTAGTTTAGATACAGGTTTTGCAGACCCCAAAGAGGAAGAAAGGGTTGTTGGTGTCTTTACTCACTACAGCATATCAATCATGGCAGACCACTTGTTTTATATTGAGCAGATGGTGTGTCATGCTAAATAGTTCATATATCCCTATGAAGATAGCAGTTAGGGACATCTCCTCGGCTTATATTCGGGTCAATACTTTTTCCCAGTTTTTTTTGGTCAAATTAGGTACCTCGGCTTATATTCGGGACGGCTTATACTCGAGTATATACGGTAGTAGTGGGTTACTTTATAAACTGTGTTGAAGACTCTATCACATATGAAGAAATGATAAGTTCCACATAGGAAACAATCAGAATGTTATGAAACGAGGAGATATAAAACTTCATAATTAGACAAACTCAGAGTACACTTGCTGGGATATCCATGAGCATAATTGACTATGGATAAAATAATGCATGCATTTGGAAAATATATGTACAAACCTTCCTGGAATTGCTTAAGTTCTCTTTCCATTTGATTCTTTGCCTTGTCATAGTGGACAGTGATGTTTTTCAGACTTGCTTCAATGAAGACAGGAGCTGCAGGCTTGGAACTGAGTGAACTTGCTTTTGATCTTAAATGTTCAACTTCTGAGTGCAAGTCACAGAGTTTAGCCAACCGAAGCTGTAAATCATAATATTACATTATCTGAGTATTAGTAAATGGCACACACAGGAAAAACAGAACAAAGGCTGTCTGCTTTCAGGGATGTTTAAAGTCCAATTCTACCCAATTTTTGTTTATTTCTCTGTAGCGCAAGGGAAAATATTATCTTACTGGCTGGCTGGCCCTTCCCTACTGTATCCAAAAATAAAAATTGCAATTGACTGGTGACTGGCTTTAATGGTTTAGGGTCTGAATATATATTTCATTTATTAGTTTAGTAGTTCTGAGGATTTATACCAGCTTTTTCTGAATGTATGCAGTCTTTGTTTTACAAATAAATATTTAATATGCAACAAAGTATTTCTAAAGCACTGTGAGCTAACTATGGAGTGCAGATAAGAAACTTCCTGCTTTGAGGATTGCTCAATCTCACTGGAAGCTCAGAATGAGCTGTCAGCTCACTTGGTGTGTAAATTTCAGCTTGAGCTACTGAGCTCTGTAAACATACTTTTTAGAACATGTAATAAAAAGACACATGAAATTCAGCCCAGAGATCCAGGTACTGGCTAGATTGAAGACTGTATATTAACTTGAATTTTAAAAAAGAAAATAATATTTGTAAAGTGTTAATTATTTTATTCCTTGCCATAATACAGAAAGAAAGAAAATATATACAAAACCACATATCCCTTGGATAAAAGACAGCCCTGCTCTCCTGCTCATGAGATGCATAAAAGGATATTACTCATGTGGCGTAATAAAATCAGATGAGCTATTCAGGTTTTTAAATAAAACACTCTCAATGTGATTTTCTTGTCTCCAGATGGAATAGTGATTGCATTGGCAACTATAGTAGTTATTTTATACAATCGCAAACAATATCTGGATGGAAAAAATATATTACACTGGTCTGAATATGGCTATTTAGAGTCAATTAATGATCTGTGATGTACACTGGGAAATGTATGCACTGCCAGCAATCTTCAAAGACCTTTAATAGAAGCCATGACAAATGCCAGCAAATGGGCTGTGTGTACACTCATTAATATTCATAAATAATTAAATCTGCCTAGATAATGATAACTTCACTACATGAAGGAATGTCATGAGATAACCAAAGGAACTTCTATACAGTCTAAAATATGCCTTGAAACAGATGCGTTTTAGAAAGCAGTGTGAAGGGCAATGAAAGCTTGTATAACCCTTAGCAAGCAAACATAAAAAATGTTTTAACTTGCCTGACTAGTGTGCACAATGCACATTGTTATTGCTGTTTGCTTCGACAGGCCATTTTGTGTCATGTTCAAGGGTTAAATGTGCCTTTTTGTGAAAGCAACACATCTGTTTAACACAGTAAGGCCCCTTTTAGATGGGCACATTCAGTTCCGAACCGCAGAGGATACATACACAATATTATCAGACCCATGTTGGTCTATGAGGAATCGGATCCGGTATGGTCAGGTCCGCCGAAACTGAACTCTGATCCGTTTGTTTTTCCGGACCCGGCTGGAGCACATCCATGTCCGTTAAGATCCGGCTGCCCATAGACTAACATTGGGCTTCCAATCAGATCTGCCTGAAAAACTGACAAGCAGATCTGATCAGAATGCCCATGTGAAAGGGGCCTAAAAATATAATGGAAATTATGGTAGTTAGTTAAAGCTGTAAAAGTGTATAATAGTGCAGGTCACAAACCAAAACTATTAGGAAAGCCTTACCTGTGTACTCTCTTTCATTGCCTGCAAAGGAAGGTCCTGGGACAGTAAGGATTGAGTCGCCAGCCATTCCTCTTCCAATCTTATCTTTTCTTCTAGGTTATCCAACTCTTGAAAATAGTCAGTGATAGCATCCTGATACAAAATACCCTTATTAAGCTCTTCTATTTGCTTGTTTATGCAATTCCATTCAGTCTGCAATCTTTCCAGGGATGCTTTCACTTCATCTTCAGGGAACTCTTCTGTGAAAATACATATAAATCACAAAATACACAGATACATTAGTCTATAAAAAAAAGTTTAAGCCCAGCTCCAGCTTCTGTAGAGAATTTATATCTAGTTTTTCCAGGCCTGTTAAAGTAAAAACATTCAGTTTTCACCGCAATACTCACCTTCTCCGTCACACTTTCCGCCAGCGCCAGTCCTCTTCCAGACTGAATGACTCCCAGCATCATTTAACACAGCCATGAGCCCATGCTATTGTGGACACACCTCCAGGAGGGTGCTTTATCACACCACACTGGACTCACAGGAGAATGCTGCAGAGAACAGTGCTCACATCACAACATGAGTCATTCTATGCGGCATTCAGGACCACCCACCAACAGAGGAGAGAAGAAGCCACAGGAATGTGATCACATGTAATCAGCCATAAGATGCCTGGAATTTAGGCAAGTATGGAAAAAAAATCTTTAAAAGTATAGGTTCTGCCAACAAATCCTGGAGTTTTGCTTATTTTGAAAAAATAAAAGTATAAAGTAATACAGGTCCCCCAAAGCAACCCATGAATCCTGCAAACACTGACATTCTATGGGAGTTTAAGCAATTAAATTATGTATTACTATACACAATGGGCCAGATTTACTATTTAAATGTGCAAAAAAGTTAAGGAAACCTATGCTTGCTTCATTAGTAAATTAGGGCTGATGCATTTGGTGAACCATCACGCATCCAATGCATCCCTGCTAGTAACTGACATGTCTAATTGACTGTATTAATTGATATCAGAAGATTTTCACCCATCTTTATCATCACTATTCTTTCCACTCATGAACTAATAGTCTTTTTTATCTAAACGTAATAGGCCATGTAATAAAACAAATACATACAAGTACAAACCTGTAACTTGAATAAATGTATCATACATACAGCAGAGGGCGCTACACAATATAAAAATTGAAGACACACTGAGTTCCACATTACTGACATTAAAATAAATTATATCTATCTTAGGAAATGGAATTTTAGAAGACAGACAGCTCATCAGGATTTACTAGCATGATACCATGAAAGGACTGGAATGCACCTTCTAGCATGAAATAGAGGGTGATAATCCTAAATGAAAATCATATGTTAAAAAGGTTATTTCAATTGGTCAAGTAAATACACATGATGAAAAACCAACAGGTATGCATAGCTGTTTGTATGCTAGGTGTTGATTAAATATATTTTTTTTCAAAGTAAACCTGTCATAAGGTAAATACAAGGGGAAACCACACTGGTGACTTTTACCCAGTTGATTGGCTAATACTGTATACTGAACTGCTAACTGTATTACTTTCTGTGTGCCTGCACTGGAACATATAAGATCAGCAAAGTAAAAAAATGCATCCAAGGACCCTAACTATTGACACTAACTATGGACACTGTCCTTCCTTCTGGAGAGTGGCTACTTTTGTAGTAGTGCAACTAAGCCCACGTACAGCTAAACACAAGAAAAAGTGATTTGGGAAGCACAAAAGTTGTTTATACTTTTCCAGATAACTACTCCTGTGTTTAACATAGGTGGTCCGTGTGCATGAGACCTAATGGCCTGCATTCCTCTGGATCAACTGTGGTTATTATAAGGTTGTGTATATTTGCAGGCTTTCTATTTATTTGTCTTTTTTTATCCTTTATCCTTACCATAACTAACTACTTTTTATACTCAATAAACTTGTGTCTTTTTTCAACCTGCTTAATTATGTAACTATGCTATGTGTGCGAAAGTTAAATCTCTTAACAGTTTCTACACAATGGGGTCTATTCACGAAGCAGCCGAAGGATCTAGCCGTAGCTTCGGCCGATCCTTCGGCTAGCTTCGGCCCCAGGACCCCTTCGGCTCAGTAGAACCGAAGGGCTGCTGTACGGGCTATTCACTATAGTCCGTACAGCTCCCGAACTTGGCCGAGCGGCTTAGTCGAGCCAAAGGCATATGCCTCGGCTCGGCTGAGCCACGCTGAAAGCCGAAGCTGGCCAAGCGAACTCGGGTCAAACTCCTTCTGCACTTCGGGTCGGCCGAACATGCTGTGCAATGCCGCTCCTGGAGTCTCCCGCTCCCGGCCGCCAAGGAGAGAAACACTGCTTTTTGTTTTTTTTTTCTTATTCTGACACGGAGCCGTGTCAGAATAAGAAAAAAGTTTCTCTCCTTGGCGGCCGGGAGCGGGAGACTCCAGGAGCGCCAGGGAGAGTTAGGCTGTCTGGAGATCTGTGTCCCTGGTTAGCTGGTAACCAGGGACGCTGATCTCTCTGCAAGTGGCCAGAGCCAGCCATAAGATCACGGCTGGCTCCGCCCAGCTGTCAGAGGCAGGCTGTCGGTCGGCCAGCTTCGGCTTTCAGCACGGCCCAGCCGAGCCGAGGCATATGCGCTCGGCTCGCTATAGTGGATAGCCCGTACAGCAGCTCTTCGGTTCTACTGAACCGAAGGGGTCCTGGGGCCAAAGCTAGTCGAAGGATTGGCCGAAGCTACGGCTAGATCCTTCGGCTGCTTCGTGAATAGACCCCCTAGTCTTAGAGTGACAGGGAATTACCTCATGGCTTTGACATGAGACTAAAACCATGACAGACAGCAGTCAGTTTATTTGGAGCTATTCGGATAGCTTTAAATTGCATTGCGCAGGGTGTCAAAGGTGCCAGCACGAATTAGATTACAATGCAACCAGGAATTATGGAAATTTAGGTTGAATCCATGTTGTATTTAAATCTGAATCTCAACCCTAGAAGATGCCACACACTTAAGTGAGTATGAAGTTGTATGGTTTGCAAATGTACTGTACATTCTTTTTTTCCACCTCAATAAGATCATCTGTCAGCCTCCTTGTCTAATAATCCTCTCGAAGTACAAGAGGTTATAGAATTGGATGTGATCCAAAAGACTGTAAGGATTAGTCAATAACAAAAAGAACAATAACTTAGAGAACCCAATTAGAATATATATTTCAAGGTCCTGAGTTCTTTAAGCTAAATTCTGACTGGTTGTTATATTGTGTCCTGTACTTTACACTTCAGCTTAGTTCCTTGCACTTACTGAATAAGTCTATATGTGATGTCACTAAAGCAGTGTATCGTGTAACTGTTAGAGTGGCCATCAATATAGCAAATTTAGAGAAAGGGGATGCAGCCACAGATCCCAAAGCCAGACCTTGCATATGGTAACAAAGCAGTGGCTGCTTACCCAGTGTACTATAATAGTTTATCTGGATAATGTCCTTAGAATTAATTGCTTCACTAATTTTTAGTAGCAAATGTACTTATTTTTTCTTCATTTCTGACTTGCTTGAAATAAATAGTAAAAGGCTTTGTAGTGGCTTTGTTACCATTATTATTAAAGCGACAATACATTTCACGTGAACACTCACAGTAAGACAGTAACACATTTGTACTTGCAACATGAGATGGCAATTTAGTGAATTTGCCTATATCAAAGAAAGGAAGGCAAATAAAGCGGAGAGGTGTTAGCTCAGGGAGGGCTAAAGTTGACAAAACAAATAAGACAGGAAATGAAATGATATGTGCAAGGTTAGCAGTCATTCAGACCCATCACAACAATATTTGAACAGCTGTAGAAACTAAACATTAGTCAGCTGGCTGTTGCAAAAATCTTCACTGTTCCTCTAGCAAGGGCGGTGAAACTGACTCAATGCTCCTCATACAATGTTCATATAAAAATGTACCTGAAAAGACATATACCCTCATATATCAAATGGAAACCTACGATTACCAGACCCCCAAAGTAGAATAACAAGCATGGCAAACCTGAATAAAAAAAAGACTGCATGTATTTGCTTTAAAGCAAAATGTAGAAGTGCCTTTTCTGATCTGAACAATTGAGGTCCATAAGAGAGGAGTAAAGTTGGCCGTACACTGCTTAGATTTTCGAAAAAAACTTTCTTTTGACTTTCTATGGAGTCAAATTGCCGATTGATTTTGATCGTAGTGACGATCTGAATTTCTTGAATTAACTACATTCTAACAGTGAACGTGGTTTGCGTTGGGGAAACTCCATTAATTCCAAAATGGAATGTTAAAATCAAACAAAATTTTCTTCAACATTCGTCAAGTGTCTGGTGCATTATCAGGTGGTAAAGAAAGATCTTTCTTGCGAACATTCGGAAATCTAGTAGTGTATGGCCAGCTTTTTTTTCTTATCTGCTAGGCTGGACAGAAATGCTTCTGCTATATCAATCTACATTGTGTTTGATGGCTGCTTTGTGTCACAAAAGAAGAAAGGTGTTGGACACAAACTTTATTTTCTAGTACTGGATCAATACTCTTGCAATGCTACTTTTTATTCCAAGCAGCATATTCAGAATCTGTAAGCGGTCTCAGGTGAATAGATATGAATACTGTACTTTAGTTAAAGTAGATTTAAACTGTAACTAAATAAAATTGTGTACGCTAAAGCACTGTGTATCATGAACAATTTTCTTTATTTAATATAATACTTGTTTCACTGTTCTTTGCTGCATCTTAGTGCAGTTGACCTCCCGCAGCCTCTTTGCAATCACTTCCTGTATGCAAGCACCCAAGCCATTGGCATATGGAAATTCTTAGGGCAGGTTTCCTAATTGGGACAACAGTGTCTGCATAAAATGTGTTGAAATGGCCACTTGTAGTCTCCATGAGAAGTCCATGTGACAGAATGACAATGCAGGAAACCAACTGGGAGACAGGGACGGCCTGTGTCACACTATAACAGGAGGAACCTGAACGAGGATTATCATTGCAGGATGCATTCATTTTTAAAATGCTGCAAAAGGCTTCAATTACTGAAATCACTGAAATCACAATAATATGTCAAGGTTTTTAGGAGGTTTTAGTGGTTGGATTTATATCTTCGTTTTTTTTGTTTTGGTTGTGTTTTTATTTAAATATGTGTACCACTACCACTACTTATGTTATCTTATCTTTGGCAGAAAGAACCTTATACATTACTATAATTCTAATTTGCTCTAAATTTGAGATTTATTTATGCCAAATGTGTCCACAATTACAAATGTTAGTAAAGATTAAAACTGCAATATGTCTCTGCATACCTTGCTTACACAGTTCCAATAGGTACTGTCCATGTGCAGCCGCCTCTCCAAACTTTGGGGTTCTTTCTGCTCTTTCTATCTCTAAAACCTAGAAAAGAGGGTTAAGAATAGCAAATGATAATACAATATTAGCCAAAGAATCCTTCTATACAGCAATGTATAATAAGGACTAAATATAGGCACATTTATATCAAAATGTAAAGGTAACTGCATGCATCAAGCGAAGAATAGCCACACTTAAGCAATATGTTAAAGTCTGGCTGCATAACTAAGGCTGGCCATACACTGAGTTATTTTCCACAGACTCTTGATGAAGCGGCAGAAATTTGCTTTGCTTACCTGACATATTTCGATCAGAAAAATCGAATGAGTCGGGTGGAAGATTTTTAGCTGAACAGTGACTGCAATCAATCAGCTGTAGTCATTGTTCAAGTATTCTGAAAGCAGCACACCCTCCGCTATAAGATTACAATGACCCAGCAGGAGATTAATTTCATCCATGCTGACTAAAGCAAACCGAACAGCCCTGGATTTGAACATGAACTGAACATGTTCTTAATGATATTCAAATGTACGTCACCAGTAGCCTGGGGGTTAAGGTATCCAAAGACATTAATGGACTGTTGCCTGCTGATTATGGTTAAAGAAGAACTCCAGAAATTGTAAAAGTTAACCCTTGCAGTGAGGCTACCCTGTAGTGCAAGGGTTACCTGCTTGTTTTTCTCTAGGGGTAAAAATAAAGAAGATATACTCACCCGATCCTTGACCCTGTGGCAGTGACCACGCACCCCTCTCTCCCCCCGCTCCGGCTGTAGTATGTCCATCTGTGTCTTCACATCTAATAGACTTGTATTAGAGGTGATGACATCACAAGGTCCTTAAACTGCCAAAGCCTGGGGAGAAGAGGCTGCAGGGACTGGATGATCAGGTAAGTATATCTTCTTTGTTTTCACTCCCTAAACAAAATAAGTAGTTAACCCTTGCAGATCAGGTGTAGCCCACTGCAATGGTTAACATTTCAAAATCCTGGAGTTCTGCTTTAATCTGAAAAATAACTGCATGTCTGGGATCAGTCTGCAACCTCTGCAGACACCTTCTGGCTGTCAGTTCAAGGGAAAATTTGATTTTCAGGATAGACTTTCCAACTAATCACCAATGTACACTAAAATAAGACTGGCACCAGAGAGGTCTGCTCAGTGCATAAACATAAACATTTGGCTGATACCAACATGCACACTGATGTCAACATTGTTCTCTACAATTTCTTAGCAGTTAGACCTTCCGACTGCCATTTTATGCCTATAAGTAACCATAGTGTTTTCTAGTATGCTGATATATAGAACTGAAACACAGTCATCAACACTGAAACTCTTAACTCAAGAAAAGCATAAAAACATGGGAACATGTATAAGCTGTAAAAGACCAAAATTATTACTAACAGGCGCCAAGTGCACTATTTCTAGGTCATATATCCAACTTATTAGACTATAGAACAGGGGAGCCCACAATTTTTGTGTTAAGATCTACTTTTCAAATGGCGAGCTACATGAAACCTACCAACGAAAAAAAACCTCCCTCGCTCTCTCTCTCCTTGCTGTCTCTCCTTTCTCTCTCCCTCCTTGCTACATGGGAACATGTATAAGCTGTAAAAGACCAAAATTATTACTAACAGGCGCCAAGTGCACTATTTCTAGGTCATATATCCAACTTATTAGACTATAGAACAGGGATGCCCACAATTTTTGTGTTAAGATCTACTTTTCAAATGGCGAGCTACATGAGATCTACCAACGAAAATAAAACCTCCCTCGCTCTCTCTCTCTCCTGGCTGTCTCTCCTTGCTCTCTCTCCTGGCTGTCTCTCCTTGTTCATACTCCTGGCTGTCTCTCCTCTCTCTCCTAGCTGTCTTTCCTCGCTCTCTCTCTCCTGGCTGTCATTCCTCGTTTTCTCTCCTGGCTGTCTCTGCTCTCTCTCCTAGCTGTCTTTCCTCGCTCTCTCTCTCCTGGCTGTCATTCCTCGTTTTCTCTCTTGGCTGTCTCTCCCTGCTCTCTCCCCTTCCTGTCTCTCCTAGCTCTCTCTCCCCTGGCTGTCTTTCCTCTCTCTCCTGTCTGTCTCTCCTGGCTCACCTTGCTGTATTTTGCAAACAGTGCAGTGCAACAGGCTGTGTAAACTAATATTCTTTGAGGTAATACATAGCACTTCAACCACCAGTATCCACCAGAAAGGTGTCATGGAGCTTGGCTCAGCAGACTCAGGCTAATAGGTAATCATGTGTGCACAGCTACACCAAAATGGAATAAAGGGGCCACAAATTCACAGCCTCCGTGATCTACCAGCATCAGCTTAGAGGGCTACTGGTATGCTGAATGTTTTTATTACATTCCCTTTGATAAAATGGGCAGCCAATACCCACTGAGATCTAAGAACAAGGTTATTAATGTAAAGACGGCTAAATCACAGATCATACCTCCAGCCGCTACATAATGTAACAAAACCCCCATTCATAGTCACTTCCTTCCCGCTTCTCCTTTTACCTTTACTGCGTCTTTTATGTCTGATGTGTCTCTAATCTTTCTGTAGTTACTGATCTCTGCAGCCAGAATGACAGACCTGGATTTAATCATCCAGTTCAACAGCTCAGCAGATTCCTCATCAAACCTAAGGACAGTGGGAATAAAACAAGAATTGAAGACACAGAGGTAATTTAAGTACCCTTTTATTAAACTGAATAATGTCTACCTTTAAGAACCTGGATAAAACTTTGCTAACAAGCTTCAAACAACTGCCCACAATGTAGGTGTGCAAAATATATGCTGCTGATAATTTTAAAATTAGGATAGAGAAGCTTGTAATAATATAAATTTAAGAGTACCATAGAGTGCTCACATGGACAACATGCACAGGCAAGGTGTAAAAATGGGCTAGCTAGACTTGGGTTCAAAGATTACAGCATCTGACGTATAGGGGGCGATATAAAAAGAATGTCGCTTAGCCACCATTAAAAAAGACCTACATTATAAGTTTTCAGTGTGATCACAGGGGGAAAGGAGACGGAAGAAATGCTTTGCAGCCAGACTTATTTCATCATCTCAGCCTAGGCTAAGTCATCTTACTGGAATTCTAAGATAGCTTTTCAGAAATAAAAGGTACAGCTTATTGGAAAAAAAATAGCGTTGTATATTGTGACGTCAAGAATTGCAAATTTGTATAGTTACTAGGAACACAATTTTAAGTATTTTACTGTCTTTATTGAGAAATTAACAAAGGATAAAATAAAATAGTAAAAGTATGGTTAACAGTGTATTTGAAAACTCACGTTTTCTTTTCCTCGGCATCCAGGCTCATTTGTCGCTTCTTCGCTGGTGGTGGAGGAGGGAGTTCTTGTTTTATTAGAAGGGTACTACTGTGTTCTGTCACAGTCACTGTCTCAGTAATAACTTTCCGGGACACTTGCTTCACTCCAAATGTGGTTACTGATTCGGTCACCTAAAGCACAAAAGGCAAGTGAACACAACATTGTTACTATCAAAACTTTTACCAGATACAAAGATAACCTCTACAAAAGAACTAATCATATTTTCTGAACAAAATTACCAGTGAAAAACACCTAGCATACTAAAATGGTACACATGTAATAAAATGAAACCAAGCAGCAGTAATCCAACCATATCAGAAAAACAACTGAAGCTTGTTACTTTAAGGATTTTCTATCGTAAATGGTTAAAATTTGCTGATTTTAATGGATATTTTTTTTATTGTTAGGCAAAACTGCAAAAGATGGCCAAAAAGATAGTTAATAGCCACTCTTTTTTTTCATTTACATTTCAAACACAAAACAAGAGTCCTAAATGTTCAGGTTTATTTTCCTTTTTTCACTAGTAGGCAGTCATTCCAGTGTTGCTACACGCCACCTTTAACCATTTAACACAATGTACATACAGGCAAGTTAGAAAATAGAAAAAGCAGTTCTTGCTGTAATACTTGCTTTGTCTCTAGTGCTTCGCCGTGTAGAAACTGCTTCACCACCAGTGGCACTCAATAAAGTTCTTGTGAGCCCAAGCTGTCATGGACACAGCTTTTGGGGGTGCATCAACATATGAGCCTGGGCTCACAATACAATACTGCAGAAAGCAGAGCTGATGTCATCATATCAGTGCCGCTCTTTGTAGTAATGAAGACTACTAGCTGCTGCCACTGCAGAAGAGGACCCAAGGACATCACATGACTGGCCAGAAACCGCTTTAATAAAAATGAACTCAAGGTGCAAACACTTTCATTTAAATATATTCCTCCATACCCACAAAGCAAAAAAATTAACTTTGCGTAAACCAAATACCTTTGCAAACCGAGATAGCAGAGGTAAATGTACTGGTTACATCATCTTTGTGATGTACATAGCCTGTGCAGAGAGCAGAACTGTGGGAGGGACCCAGTATGCCCCACCACTACAGGCTGGCTGCAGAAGACTAGGGGTGGGGGAAGTACATACAAAACCAGTCACCCTGCACAAGGAGATAGAGCAGCAGTGACTGGTCTTTATTACAGGAAACTACTGCACAGGCGCAAAATATAGTTTTTCACACTGGATTACTGCACAAATCTAGAAGAACATGACTCTTGTATTTGGACAGCACTTGTTTCACTCAAATTTAGAGCTCAAGGTATTTTAAGAGAATAGTTTTTTTTAAATTAGGTGCAGGAGGGGAGTTTGATGGGGGAGGGGGAGGTTTTTTTAAACATTAAAGAAATGTTGATACATTTGGCAGGTCTTTAGGCCCGTTTCACACCTGGGCGTTTTGTAACGCGTTCGTACGCTCTGCAAAACACTCAAACACCGAAATCTCATTATTTGCTATGGGTATGGTTCACACCTGGGCGTATTACAGTCTGTATGAACGCGCTACAAAACGTCCTACGCATAAAGAAGTACAGGAGCTTCTTTGGGGCGTTTTTGTCGCGCGTTTCCATTAGGATACTGCCAAGTAGCCCTCGGAAACGCGCGTTTTTTTACCGCGACACGAAACGCGCGACAAACGCGCATATTCGATACGCCTAGGTGTGAACCCAGCCTTAGCTTTTGAGTAGCTGGAGATAAAACATATGTTCTGTATGTTTATTTTCTAAATAGCAATTATTTTATTATTTGTAAAAAGACTATTTATCCTCCAGAGGAAATAGTAAGCGAAACATTTAACATATGAGCCATATAAGCCTGGCAACATACAGGACTGCTCAATAACAAAAAACAGGGATAGTCAATCACAACACTTTCAGAGAAGTAGCAAGGTCCAGGGTTATTGCAGAATTGCTGATTAGTCTAAAACATCTTTTAGACACAATACCTGATTAGTATAATCTTCCAATACATGCACTAGTTCATCCCATTTTTGAGCAAGGTCTTCCATATCATTCTTCACTTTCTGCGATGCTTTGCTACTGCCAATAAGCAGAACCACGTCCTGGGCCAACTCATGCAAATGGTCAAATGTTTGCTTCTTCATTCCTAATTCTTCCTTTAAGCTCTAAAATGACACGAACACGATACAGTTTTTTTTTTCACATTTGAAATATTTGAACACTCTCTTTAACAACACTTTAAAAAATCTCACTTGGTTATGAAAATACCCTGACATCGGTCAATTCTAAGGGGTCTATTCACAAAGCTGCCGAAGGATCCAAGCGTAGCTTCGGCTGATCCTTCGGCTAGCTTTGGTTGTGGGAGCCCTTCAGATCAGTCGAACTGAAGGGCTGTTGTATGGAGGGCTGCTGTATGGGTTCTTCACTATAGCCCATACAGCACCCGAAGGCGGCCGAGTGGCTCAGTCGAGGGAAGGCATATGCTTCGGCACAACTGAGCCAAAGTGACAGCCGAAGCGGGGCGAATGGCCAGCCGAAGGCCTCGCAAATGACAGCTGGCCGGAGCCAGCCATGATCTCACAGCTGGCGCTGCACAGTTGTAATGACAGATCAGCGCCCCAAAATGACCTGGGGACGCTGAACTGTCTTTAAACAATAACAACTGGGCGGAGCCGGCCATGACATCACAGCCGGCCCCGCCCAGTTGTTATTCCTTGGCCGGGCAGCCGAAGGCAGCCGTTGTACAGCTGATTTCAACCAATGTACGGCTGAAATCAGCTCACTTCACTACGGCTCGGTTATTCACTCGGCTGCCTTCGGCAGCTTTGTGAATAACCCCTTAAATGTTTACCCATTTCCAAAGCGCCGCTTGCAAAAAGAGCTGAAGACATAATAATGACTGTGTACAGTTTTTTATTTATTTCGTACTTTGAAGCCGAAATGTTCTTATTCATTATTTTCAATGCGTAACATTTTTGTTTGTTTAATAACTTTGTTATGCATTGAGAAGTACAAATGTACACAAAACAGTAATTAAAGGGGATGAAGAGATACAATAACTTGTGTTTGCTTTCAATCTTTTCAGGGCCAAGGAAAATGAATGGTAATGAATGACAGGAAAGGATGCATAACGTTGACACTAATCTCCTCGTTACTTGGTAAAGCCTCACTTCCCTCAAGCTTGGTTTTACCCTTGTCTTTTCTACAATAAAATTCCAGACATAACATACATACTGTACTCACCGCCAGCCTCCTCACATTCACACTCAGCTCATTCTGGTCTTTGAAGTCGCTCCGCTGGACTTTTTTTAGAGATTCTTCTTTTTCCTTTAGCCATATCCTGAGCAAGCTCTAGATGCACAAAAAGAGTATTGAAATTGTTCAAAGAAATACTAAGAATACTGATATGAAAAAGATCATTGAATTGATTCTGACTCACAAAACATAAACTACTGTACATATGTTCATAATTATATTTTAAGCTGTGTTTGAAAAAAAAAGTTATTTTCAAAATGAATGAAGTCAGATTTTTCAAAGTGTGGGTAGTGAGCCACTGATGAGACTGCAGGGTGCAGGATTACCGTGCAAGACCATTTTGTGGAAAGATAGCCAGGTACTACTGGCAGTAACCACAGACAGTATGGGGAAACCATTTGTGTTCAGAGAGAAGACAGCTTCTGATTGTATGCTGGCAGTGATTTCTAATAGTAGAAGTCGGCATTCAGAAAATGCAAAGGTTATGATAGTGGACTAAAACAAAGCAATTCTTAGAAAAGAACTTGTGCATATGAGGTACTCCCTAAAAAGAACTTAATTTCCTTGTGCACACTATGTATGACCTGGTCCCCCTCATTCCCCGTGTCCATTCTGCTGGTATAATCGGTGAGACATGGCATGGCATCTCTCTGTCTCAGGAGCTGTTGCAACCAACATGTTTATATGATGCCATTGTTTACAAGCATTATTAATCAATTGGATGTCATTGCATTATTATTATGTATATATAGCTGATTTTTAAAGGTGTCCATACACTGTACGATTATCGTACGAGAATCGCTGGAAATCCCGCGATCGTACGATAATCGCAAAGTGTATGGAAGGCGTGTGACTGTTTCTACTGTACAGTCGCACGTCTTCCGTCGAACAAGCAGGCTGGAAAACCTGCCGGGAATCGTACGATTCTCGGCGGGTTAGTGGCCTGCTTGTTCGACAACTGCCGAACGGGCGCACGCGCACACTGCCCGTTTGCAGCCATCGGAAAGGCCGACCCTCATTGCAGTCATCGGAAGCCCGCCCCCCAGGGGGGTGGGCTTGCGATGATGGCAAATACGATCTGCCTGTCCTTGATGGGCAGATCCTACGTTTTTTTAATTACTTTACAACCCTCACAAGACAAAAGTCTTGCGAGGGTTGTAAAGTGTATGGCCACCACATCTTTTTTCAAGAAAATACTATTGGTCCCAAAAAAAGACAATATAAAGCAAATGAGGCTCTTCTATTTCCAGACAATGGATGAGAATTGCTGGAACACAGCCAGACTAACTGTTGTAGGTGAAGAAAAGGTCAAACAAATTCAATTCAGTAAATTACTTACAGCAAGAATTACTAAAATGTTCCCATATTAGCAGCATTATAAAAACTGTGTGCAAGTTTTGCAAAAACTAGTCAACTAAATGTAAGATATCTGCAAATGATTATGCATATGTGAATATTATATATGGATATATTTGTGTCTAGTAAATTCGCCAAATTTGACAATACGTCTTAGAGTGGTCCTTGGCTGGCATCAGTGCACACTCAAACATGCCCATACGTGGCATTATATATCTTGCAATTTGTCCAAGAAACAGAATTGGAACACACATGGCCAAATACCTCTTCATAACTACTCAATCAAACTAGGGAATGATTGGCCTTGTTGCGAGAGATATTTCAGTAATTTGGAAAACGTTTGCATACCAAATACTTTTAACAATTCCTAATGTCTTAAATGGCATGATGTTGTCTGAAGCACAGCATCACACCCCTGAATATCTGCACAGCACACATTTAAAAACTTCCACTAAGCACTAATACAAAGTGCAAGAGAAAATATACACTTAATTTTTTTTCCTTTTTATGTAGATGTAAATTAAAACTATGGGGTCTCTTCACGAAGCAGCCGAAGGATCTAGCCATAGCTTCGGCTGATCCTTCAGCTAGCTTCGGCCCCAGGACCCCTTCGGTTTAGTAGAACCGAAGTGCTGCTGTATGGGCTATTTACAATAGCCCGTACAGCTCCCGAAGTCGGCCGAGCGGCTCAGTCGAGCCGAAGGCATATGCTTCGGCTCGACTGAGCCGAGGTGAAAGCCGAAGCTGGCTGAGCGGCCGGCCGACAGCCTGCTTCTGACAGCTGTGCGGAGCCAGCCATAATCTTACGGCTGGCTCCGGCCACTTGCAGAGAGATCAGCGTCCCTGGTTACCAACTAACCAGGGACACTGATCTCCAAACAGCCCAACTCTCCTGGGCGCTCCCGGCCGCCCAGGAGAGAAACACTGCTTTTTCTTTTGTTTTTGACGCAGAGCCGTTAGCTGTCGTCAGAATTAAAAAAAAATAATAATAATTTTTGGCCACAGGAATGCATTGCTAGATTCCTATTGGATATTTCAATATGCAATAGCCAATAGCAAACTAGCTATTGCACCCGCCCATTGCTGCTGTCAATCAGCAGAGGGGACCTGCAATTCTCCATCAGGTCCCCACTAGTGATTGACGGCAGCAGTGGGTGGGTGCAATAGCTAGTTTGCTATTGGCTATTGCAAATTGAAATAGTCAATAGGAATCTAGCAATACATTCTTATGGCGAAAATGTTATTTATTTTTTTTGACGGCAGCAGAACCGCCGGCCAATAGAAAACAGTTGGGCGGCGCTAGCTGTCACTGCTAGCTCCGCACAATCGTTTTCTATTTTTTTTTGTACTTTTTTAACGCTTAGCGGCATTTGGCTATTCACTCACTGCTGTTCGGCATCTATAAGAATAGACCGAACAGCAGTGAGTAGCCTGCCGGAGGTCCGGCTTAGCCGATCCAGATGTTTGATCGGCTGAATCGAACTCCTTCTGCACTTCGGGTCCCGAAGCCACACGAATCCACCCAATGAAATCAGCCATACCAGCCTGAATTGAATAGCCGAACAGCGTTCGGCTCACTTCGCTTCAGGTCGGTCGTTCACTCGGCTGCCTATGGCAGCTTAGTGAATAAACCCCTATTTTTTCTGATTTATTAAAAATCCCTGAAACTACAAACTTGGGCTGAATGCTTCCTGAATTCTACATTTACACCCCACATTTACACCCCCATTCTACATTTCTACATTTACACGCCCATTCTCCTTCCTAAACACACATGCACACACACAACAATTATGTTTACTGCATTAAGTATTTAAAATATGGCCTGAAATTACAGATTATTATTGTATCCCTAGTAATTGTAACTGAACTTGTATTAGCATTAAAGTGACATTAAAGTCAAAAGGATTTTAGGCTATTTCAAATGCTGATTAAATTACTTTCAATGGATGCTGTTCCTTAATGTTTAACCCCTTAAGGATCAAGGCCTTTTTTTTGTTTTTGCACACATGTTATAATCTACATTTTAGGGCTGAAAATTAATTCAGAAACTACACATTATATAGTTTCTGAAAGCCAGGACCCTGTAGAATTGTAGAAGTTGCAAATTTTTATAATGCTCGTTATTAGCGCTACTTATTATCAAACCCCAAACGTTTGTGAAAAATGCACTTAAGTAAAATATAGTGCCCCAGAGCACAGTATAATACTCATTTTGTTTTGTAAAATATAAAGGATGAGGTTACAATGAATAAATAGATACCCAACATGCCCAGGTAAAAAATGTTGTGCGTCCATGAAACAGCGACAAAATTCAGTAGCCCAAAAAGTCCATAGACAACGATTTAGTGATACTTGTAAATTGTGGCCCTAGAATTATTGCTCTCACTCTGGCATGCGCGGTGATACCCAACATGTGGAGCGCGATCGTCGTTTTCGTACGCGTGTTTAAGTGAAGACGCTCATGCTCGTGGGGACTTTTAAAACATTTTTTTATTATTATTTTTACATTTATTTTATTTAATATTATTTTTAAAACCTTTTTTTTTTTAAGCATTTACTTTAATTGCTAAAGGCTTATAAGCCCCCTATGTGATATCATAGTGGCGGTGACAGGTCCTCATTAAGGTGATAATTTGGCAGTGACAGGTCCTCTTTAAGGTGATACTGGGGGTCCAAAAGACCCCCAGTATTACCTTTCCACTTTAAATAAGCTTTTGAAGTGCAGATCTAACTTCAATAACTTATTGCTCGATTTCAGGTCCCATCGCATCGCTCCTGGTCCCATAGAACGTAGAGTAGAGCAGTGCACGGAAGTTCGCTGCTCTCCTCCCCAGCTTTCTGCTGGCATTTGACATACCAGTCCCGGACCCGCAGGAGGGGCAGCGGAGCCTGGGAAACATGGTGTTGGGAGAGTCACCAGAATCGCTTCTATTGTTAAGCCGGCCGCTGGCTCTACTAGGTGAGGGAACCTGGTATGTGTTCCCTCACCTCCCGATCTACTGAGCCGACCTGTGACAGTCTCATTGTCACAGGTCGGCTTAGAACTATGAGGTGAGTGGAAATCACTCATGTCATAGTTCTCCTTTAAACAGTCACGGCAGCTGTTTAAAAACTCTTAAGGACCCATGACAGAATAATCCCGTCATGGGTCATTAAGGGGTCAAAAGTTTTAGTTTCCTGTAGAATCAGCTGGTCCCCTGAGCACTGGTTCTGACTTCCTGTATTAAAGTGACTCGTTTCTCAAGTATACTGCTATGGAGTCACCCTTGTGTCTACTAGTAAGCAATGTGTGTCTCCACAAACACACAGACACAGCAAATCAAGCTACCCACCTCCCCCCTGGCTCCCTCTCCTCCTTCCACCCTTCTTCGGGCTAATAGTTGAACAGTTTCTGGAGTCTGCACTGTAAAAAAAAAAGACTACACTTTCAGGTGTCGGTGAAAAATCAAATAATTTTGATTGGATGTGAATCTGTAGGAACTCTTATCAATGCAGTTCTTATGAAAAAAATTACCTATGAGAATAATTATTCTACAATCATATAACTAATTTAATGAAAATTCTTAACTGTTCCTCATCATTCATTTTCTGGTTTATGTGATAATTCGATTCATAGTAAAAATTAAACAAGTTACACACCATCTGAAACAAGAAACACTGTGTGATAAAACTCATTCCAACACCTTCAAACATTTATATTATCCATTGAAGTCTGTCTTTTATCTCTAGGGCTCTGAAGTCTACAATGGTCTATACCTGTTCTTCTAGAAGCTTCTGCCAGAGGACAAGAATTTCCTGCAGCTTACTCCAGTGTTCCTCTGTCCAACGGCAAACCGCTGCCCATCTTTCTCCTAGTTTCTAAAGAGAATATAGAAAATCTTTAGGAAAAAAGTATAGTGTTTCTATCCATGATTCCATAAATATATATACATATACAGTATATATACATATACTGTACATATATATACTGTATATATTATATATAGTGGACAGCTGAGCACAGCTTCTAACACATACATATAGATGCTGCAATCCATAGCAGAACATGCATGTATATCCAGGTCCAGTCTTTTTTTTAGGTTATATTGAAAAATAAACCTGGCTATACACTGCTCTATTTTTTTTGTTCAATGCATGGGCTGAACAAATAAAAATAGAACAGATTCCTCCAAAACGCTATACGTGCATTGATCGAGGAATCCTCATTGTTTCTTTTGTATTCTCACAACAACTGGCAGCCACTGTCAGAATACCACAAACAGAACCAGCTAATTGGCTGCTGGCTCTGTTCGTTCAAAGATTTTGCGACCGACTCCTTCGATAAGCTGATCAAAGGAATGCCGTCTAAAAGGGTGCAGATACCCAATGTGAAATATGCACATACATTTTCAATAATGTATGGCCAGCTTAAACCACTGGGTATATTGCAAAATAAATATATTAATGGGGTGTTTTTTTTTGTTTTTTTGTTAATTCAATCTCTTCAGATACAATCAAAAGTCAATTTAATGGTGGAAAATAAACAAGCAGTGTGTAGACGACAGAACATTTAGATTGCAGCAACAAAAATCGATGGAGGTGTGGCTAGTATAAACAATTACACAAAAACAACCAAATGAAGTAGGGTCTCTCCCATGGTGTAGACACAAACAACAAAATGAAAGATGTGCTTTTGTTTTGCACTATTTCATGCAATTACACTAATAACACAGTTCCCACCTGCTACTGTTTATACTGTATATCAGTATTCATAAAAAGGAACTAGTACTAAATTAAACAGAGTGCTACATGATTCAGCTTACCATACATGCATATAGTGTATATACTGTATGTGTGTATATATATATATA